GCGTGTTATTATTAGCTTTGAAAGATTTGGTACGGATCCCGACGGTGAGTCACAGGAAAGATAAAAACGCTTCCTCGAATAAACCCGGACAGATCAACAATCTGGACGCTGAAAGCTAAATAAAGAAGTGCAGGGTTTCTGGGTAAAAAAACATACATTTGTTGGCCTCGACTTTGTAAAGCAGCATCATCATGTGGATCCATCATGCAAAGCTTCAAGTTTGGTCTTTTGCGCACAAAAACAGCTGTTCTGGTAAATAGTAACATATTTCTTTTCTTATTCAGCATCTTTAGATAACACTTGTTGTAAATTGGTGCTGTGAAAATTAGTATGCGGCTGATTTTGGATGATATTGGGTTTAGTAGCTATGGAGGCGTATTGCATTCACTTACAAAAAGGAAAATGTTTCAGAAAAAAGTTCAGAAAACAGAAAAAAAAATTAAAACAGAAAAGAAAAAATTCAGAACAAAAGAAAAGAGCAAAAAAATTATTTAGAAAAACTGAAAAAAAAAATTTTGGGGGGGGGATGGAGAAGAAAAAAATTGGGGGGAAAACAGAAAAGAAAAAATATTCAGAAAACAGAAAAGAAAAAATATATTCAGAAAAATAGAAAAGAGAAAAAATTATTCTGAAAAACACAAAAGAAAAAGAAATTCAGAAAAATAGCAAAAAAAAAAAAAAAATTCAGAAAAATAGTAAAAAAAAAAAAATTAAAATTCAGAAAAATAGTAAAAAAAAAAAAAAATTTCAGAAGACCAGAACAGAAAAAAAATGCAATAAACTTCCATCAGTAGCTACCTAAAAAGCTCCAAGAGAAAGACCATGGCGCTGTGCTGCTGTTGGGAACTGTTTTGGTCTTCCCAAAAGAAGCAGAAAAGTGACTCAGACTGCGGGACAAACTTTAAAACCTTTTTTTTCTGCACTCTGATAACTTTCCTCTAAACTTAAAAAACAAAAGACAAATTAATAAAGAGGGCGACGGTAATGAGACCTCAGCCCTCACGGTCCACATGTTGGCACAAATGAGAGTATTTTCTCTCGTATTCGTTGTTGTGTGAGTTCGGTTCAATAGTTTCATTATTTCCGGATGAGCGAGGAGCAGGTGGCCGGACTGATCAATGCAGGAGCCGAGCCCAGAGACAGAGAAACCCTCAGTGACCACCGTCTGGGGTCGACTTCACAATCAACCTGACACATCAAATATTCAGCAGCGGCTCAGTGACACTCTGAAACCGCTCATACCGGAGACAGAGAGAGACAGAGAGAGGAGGAGGAACCAGTAATCACTAATCACTGTGTGTGTGTGTGTTTCACACTTAACACCGGCACGTCCCCCTGACAGATTCTAGCTCCACACATCAAATATTAAAGCTGTGGCGTGAATTATTGATCCCAATCAATGTTTGCAGATCAGAGCTCTCAGCTGGCAGAGGGGGAGCTAATGAGCGGGCTAAATGGACAGCTGAGCAGATCTTCAGAGACCCACAAACACTCCTGCTGCACAGAGGTGCTGCAACATGTGGCCTTAACCCTTCATGGACGTCGAAAGGTGATGAGGAAATCCGGAACTGTGACCGTCAACGCAAGATTAATTAAAAAATCCTTCAAATACATCTAAGAGTTGCACTTTTTTCAGATCTTTGATGGTTTTATGCAAAAAATAGGTCAAAATATTCTTTCTTACGCATAAAGTTATATAAGTGAGAACCATTTGGGATTGGATTGATTTCTTTGCAGTTGTGCTGAAGCTGATTCTTATCCTGAGCTTGGCTAGTTTAGATCCCCTCTGGACAAATGCAAATGCAATAACATGCAATGACACCTAGCAGGGTGACCATACGTCCAGCAACACAGTTGTATCATGCAAAGGAAGGTTAATGACCAACATGATTTAACACCTCAGGATTCATGGAGGAGAAATACACGAGTGCCCGTCTTTGACGCGCTTCGCCAGTCTTACGCTAACCAACCAGAATTAGAAAAGTGAAACAATCAATTACTTCTGTCTTCTGCTAACATTGATGCGGCAAACAAATTGTACTTTGTACAGAGGGTCAATTTAAATATCCAACTAACATTAACCCTTGTACTTTTTCATAGACAAACGACCTGACAACAAATATTGATATTTATGTACTGGTTGAAAACGTGAGAAATTCATAGTAAAATTCTTAAAAAGTTCATATAATTTAAAAATTATTAAACCAGAATCGAAACGAGGAACCAGAATCGGAGTCGGGGTCATTCGAAATCAAAAAGACCCAACCCTACTCATTATTGATAAATCGTTGTGATTGGCCCAACAAGAAATCAGAGAAAGAAAAGGGGGTGCATGAATGTCTCTGGTTCCTATGGAAACCGTCCTAAAATCTTGCTTAATCACAGCAAAAGTTTAGACTAATTCAGAGTCGATAGGATGTGGACTTCATCTGATCAGATAAGCTTTACTTCTAACCCAAAAACTCTGATAAGTGTTTCCTGCAGCCTGCAAAGTCAGATGAGGGTCATCCTGAAGAGAAGACAGATGTGCAGCTCAGTTTGTACACCGTTCACCTTTTCTGACTTCAAAACAAAAACTCTGAGAGTCGTCAGCGTCTTCAGCTCTGCCTCTGAGGTGTTCGGTTGAAATCCATGTTCCTGTCTAAACACTTCACCCTGTTTTTCCTGAAAGCATTCACACTTGACTGTCTCTCTGTTTACACACACACACACACACACACACACACACACACACACACACACACGGAGCGACACACTCACAGGTAGAGCAGCTGTGAGCTCCACATCTGATTATGTTATTGACACCGGGCAGGAAACACAAGTGGAAGCGTGCCTCGTCAGAGTGTCATACACAGAGGACGCCGCAGCCGCTCCATCACGTTAAATGACATAACTGGTTTACATCAGGGCTGCAGGAACCAAACCGGCGGATTAGCTCAATCCAGAAATGGCTTTGTTTATGCGGTGGGTACTGAACGCAGCCTGAGTTGTGTCTGAGCATCTCTAAAGCCTCGGGGTCTGCGCTACAACTGATGATTAGCATTTACATAATGAGCTAAATGTTAGCTGCCGCCTTAAACTGCTCCTCCTCAGCCGTAGGGGGGCAAGCTGACCTCCAGAGAAACAAACAGAGAGAAAGAAAGAGAGAGGATTCAGGAGCAGATCCAGGACTTTCATGGAGGAAATCTAAAAACAGAAGTCTATTTTTAGGAGCTCTTAAGTCTGGAGATTTTCTCTTTTATTATTGACAACATAAAAAGACTCTGCTGACCCTCCTGAGAGGCACTCTGTGTGTCTTTAAAGCCTTATATATTACATTCTTGTTCAGGGTTCAATAAAAGTGTAATAAAAACAGCACAGGCGTCAGGTGACATGTTTCTAAATCCGCATGAACACTCGCCGTGTGCTCCAAATCTGAAATAGAAATAATCTGCAGACAGAAATACTCGCAGACAGATGCATTATTTACTCCTGTCTGTGTTCTCTGTGCTAAAAAAAATCATGTCACAGCTGAAGTTCAAGGGTCAGAAAGTGTTTAGGTTTTTATAGAAGAATGACCCGATCAGATCTGAGTCCAGGCATCACTAATCTATCTGTAGGCTCTTATAGATGTCACTCAGTGTGTTTACATGCACAGTTTAATCGGACTAAACTTATGATTCACTTTTTTTTGCTGAATCGGAGCTGGGAAAATCAAATTATTGATGTGAACGTGTCCTCCTCCCCAAAACTAGGGGGCGATATTAGTCTTTTCAGTGGTGCTGTTTCCAGTTGATTCTGTTGCTACCCGATCCGTCCCAGAAACCCAAATTCTTCTGCGCAGGTGCAAATTTACTTCACCTTAAAAACTTTATTTAAACTACAGATCGATTCAGAAACAAGCTGCCGATGTGACGGCCTAGCTAGCAGGAGTCGCCAGAGCTCCTGCCCAGCACGGTGAGACCTTTTAGGCTAGAGAGAGCGCCGCCACCAGCTCAAAATCATGGTTCTCTACCTTTTCAAAGATCAAGAAGGGAATTAATTTAATTTAATTTATTTTATAAATTAAATTAATCAACAAGAAGCTTACACATTATAGACAATGAATTTCAGCGTTATTATACAGTGTACAATTTCAACACTGAAATGTTTACATTCATTCAAGCTTTTTATAACTCCGTTACAATTTTACAATTTAGCTGTAGAAGGAATTTTAATCGTAAATCTGGGCGCCATTCTCTTGACTTTCTGGCGCTCTGCTTCAGTCGGGGGAAAGAGAAAAGAAAAGCGTGTGGCTGGTGATAAACTGAAGCATCGATAAACTGTAGCTGATGCTGAAGCTGTCGAACAAGAGTCAAAGCTGTCGCAAAGATGGCTAGAAGAGGAAGTGGCGTACTCATGCGCTGTACTATTTGGGTTTCTGGGATGGATCAGGTAGCAACAGACTCCGTACAACCGTCAACAACGACAGCAGGTCAGACATCAGAAGTGTCTACAACTGCTGCTGGGGATTTTGGAGAAACAAGAAGATGGAGCATCGTACAGCGTTATTTTTGTCCTACATGATGTACGCACTACTTCTTCTTCTCTGCTTCTTCTTCTCTGGTGTTTTTGTTCCGTGGGTTACGGGGGCGTGGTGCACGCACACATGCATTGTCCGATCATACTCCGACTACGCTGGTTACATGGTAGAGAAAATCGAATTCCAATCGCGTTATCTGTGTCTTAATCGAAGTTCTTCGACTCTAATCGGAGTTCTCAAACTCTGATTATAGTTGGACTAAGGTGTTTACATGCTCTTCAGTTGTCTGGTCTTAATCGGAATAAGGCGATAATTCGGTTTTCCTCGAGTGTCATGGAAACGTACTGACTGAGTTCAGGAGCTGAATGGAGGTCTCTGTGTTGAGTTTTCTGCACCATGGACTCAATGAAAGGAGGTTTCAATCCAGACTCTTCTGCTGAATCTTAACCACACAATCAAAGTTGTTAAAATCCAAAGTAAGACAGGAATTAAATTCTGCGACATCCTTTCTATTTTAAAATGTGATGAACTTCATTATTCCAACAAAAATCACACATACTGAGCTTTAGGGGCTGCAGGATGTCAAAGAGAGAGTCCAGAAAACCTGTTACACCTTCAGTCCCATTTTTGTTAAGTTGAGGAGACGTTCAACATTTTTCACTCATTCCCCTCCCTCCTTTTCTTTCAGCTGAAATAGTAAAGTATTTTTTCTTGAGATAAGAGGATCGTCAGTCGATCTTTACTGCACAGACACAAATAAAGGTTTGATGTTGGAAGATTCAGCTTCATCTGCACAAATCCTCCTCCTCCTCCTCCTGGTTTTTCTCCTCTTCTTCATCTCTTTCACAATCTGTCTTCTCCAAACATAGACAGCTTGCCTGACCGCCTGGAATACACATTTGGATCTGCTTGTCACTTTACATCCTCCTCGTCTTCCCTCCTCTTCTCTCTTCCTCATAATCTCTCTATCTGTCCATCTCCTCCCTTCCTTCATGCGAGGGCGCCAGTCGATAGAGACATCCTGCTTTTTAATTCATCTGTCCGAGGGGACCGAGGGAGGACCAAGAGATCGAGGAGAGGGGATCTAAATCTAAAGATCGGGGGGCTCTAAATGTAAACAGTGGCACGCAGAGCAGCTTAAGAGGGCTATAAATAGAGCAAAAGACCAAGAGAGGGAGCGAGCTAGATAGAGTGAGAAAGCTTTGCTTACGGAATAAAAATTGCTCCCGACAGTCAGGGATTAGTGCTTCCCTGGAGGATTTTCACTCCAAAGCTCAATCTGGGGCGATTGGGAAAAGCACCAGCCTCAGTCATCTTAATTCAGTTAAACCCTGCCCAACACAGAGAGCCATCATGCACGCATGTTCACATGCAACTACCTCACAGAAGTGTGTGTTCATGTGCTCTCATGCTCGGCTGCTGGGAGGAAGGAGGTGCAACAAGAGGGACACAACAACAGAGACGCATGAAGGATGTGGTCCACGCCGAGCGAGGGGCTGCAGACGCAGAGCGGTGTGGTTTGGTCAGTCATAATTGAAAGATACACACACACACACACACACACACACACACACACACACACACACACACACACACACACACACACACAGTGAGCCTCATTACCGGCAGATTACTCAGCACCTGATCCTGCTAAGCTTGTTAAACAACACTGTTCTGCAGCAGACACACACACACACACACACACACACACACACTCAGAGCGAGGTGCTAAGAATAACCCCCGTCGCACAAAACAAAACAATGGAAACAGCCCAGCTGCTAAAATCGCTGACATTCATTTAACGCTCAGATTTTAAAGCTTCAGTCAGTGATTTTTTTCCGGCCACAAGGGGGCAGAAAAACATCAGAACAAGCAGAGGACTAAGCAGCCATGTTTTAGGCTTAAGGAGGCTTACAGCGCTAATGCTATAAGTTTACGCTACATATCAGCGATGTGGCGGACTGACCTGATCGGCGTTTACATTTCTGATTATTGTGGAAATCTCGGAGGGTTTCCAGGCCGAGGTTTGACTCGCCGAGCAGCAGCTGGAGACACGAGGATTAGGTTGAAGCTGAAGGAAAACTTCCTTGATAAGAGTGATTATGAAAAGATCAAGTGTTATCATGTGATCGCTAATGGGTTCTCTAAGGATGGCAAAACGATGAAATGTTGTCTGCCTTGCTCATCGGCGCTGGAATTAAACAATTTGTTGACTTCTTAAAAGTGTTTTTGGATCATCTCACGCAGCTGTAAGAAAGAATTTCAGAGTTGCTAATAAAAAAGTTTGGTTTATAAGTTTTCACTTACAAAGTGTGACTTCTATACACACAGAGGTATATTCAGAAATGACGTAGAGAGAGTGTGTGTGTGTGTGTGTGTGTTCAGGGAAGCAGAGCTGCTGACTTCCTTCTGCTGAGGCGATACACACATCTGAGTCCCCACAGCAACACATTAGCACTCAACTCTACCATGGAGGAGCCAGTAAACAACCCGTGCGTGTGTGTGTGTTCACAAACTTCTATCATCGTGAGGACCAGTTTAATTGTGTCATGAAAGTGAGGGCGTTCGACAAAGTGAGGACAGTTCGGACAGAAGTTAGTGGACTCGGGAGTTGATTCTTTAAGCTACTGAGATGCTTGACCCAGAGTAACCTGGTTGACGTGCCGCACTACTGGTTTCTTACACGACCATGAGTCTTTGACGATCAGTGAAAGTCCAGATGGTGTTCCTTAAAAACTTTCTTGTGACGAACATTTTTACTAAAGTCCATTTTACAATTGACATCGAGCAACACTGAACAAACAAACAAAGACATCGGCATTTAGCGCCACAGTGGTCAAAAACCTTTGCCTGCCCACAACAGTGACATAGCTACCTTTATTCCTGAGCCCCAGATAACAAGACAGCGACACCTAAGGCATACAAAGTGAACTGCAACTTATTTTATGTTATCACATCAACATATTTGGCTCCAGACCAACAGTCTGGGGGAGGAAACCATCTTAGTGTCAGCTGGTTCTGGTCTACACTGATCTGTAATGCCTACCTGAGGGGAGGAGATTAAACAGTTTGTGTCCTGGGTGTGAGGGTTCTGCAGTGATCTTACCTGCTTGTTCTCTGACCTGGGACCGATATAAGACCTAGATGGAGGGATGGTTCATGGTCTTGATTGTCTGTTGCCATCTGTTGGGGACCCAAACCAAACACTGATGGATGTGCAGAGGACAGACTGGGTGATGGCGGCTCCTGAAGCAGGTTGAGTTTCCTGAGTTGTTGCATTGTGAAGATGAGTATTATTCATCGTTTTTTCAGCTGATGAGAGAGGTAGACTTGGACTACATTTACACATGCACAGCTATTTTCATAACATTGACAAAGAAAAAACTGCGTGCACAGCACTACGTTTTCAGAAAAGGTTTTGTTTACACTAACCCGTGTATATTTGTCGCCAAAAGCATGCCAAACCTGTAGGTTGCAGTGTAGTGAGAAACTCAAGCCCACGTTAGCCAATAAGAATCGCGCATAGCAGCAACAACAACGTCACCTCCTTCTTTTGGAAAAGATGTAAATGCAAACAAATACAAAGGGATTGCACCAGCATAAATGCGACTGCTATTCTGCATGCATCCATGATCACCATAGGTTGTAAACAACGTCGCATTTAACATCGGCCTCCCAAAATCTCCACTTACCTCAGTTTTTCTCTGTTTACATGCAAACGAGCGAACCAAGTTTTCCAAAGTCTCCACTCTCCATGCTGGTGTTTTTAAAAAGCATCGTTTTCAGGGGGGAATTCTCCATTTGCGTCTAAATGAAGGGCGCAAACGATGGTTAATGTCTCTGTTTTTAAAAATAACCGGGTACATATAAATATGGCCTGAAAATTTCAAAGTTTTGGAAAGAGAAAAAATTTAGTAAAAGGACGATTAGTTTTTGAAAATTGAGGAAGTGCAGATGTACAAGAATGTAAAAATGTAAAGGACACTCAAGGACGACTAAAGGATGCAGAGAAGACAAGTTGTTAGATTATGGTCTCGTACAGATTTGCTGTTTGGGTTTCTATCTATGGTTTGCATTAACAATAACGGTTTTAAGCAGTCTTAAAACTCAAAGTATCTTGTGCACAAAAACTCGAACAAGTGCTCTGACGGCCTCCCTTTACGTTGTTTCTCTTCAATCGTGCAACTTTCTAACTGTATGGAGAAAAAATCCAGGAGACTTCCAGGTCAGGCGTTGGAGGAATCATGCCTCAAAGTTAATTCACTTTCACTTTCAGCGTTTGCCAAACGGATGAATAAAATACGACGCTGCGGCTCGTGAAGGAGGAGGGGAAGAGTCTCTAATTGGAATTTCTGTCGAGTGAAAGAGGAGAGTTGCGGGGAGACAAATTATTCACATTCACACTCACGCTGCACATTTAATCAAGTTGCTCCATTAGGCAGCCCGGGGTGTTGGCGTTCGCTCCGTCCCTCATGATGCGGGAACAAGAACATCTACACTGATCGAAAGAGGACAAAACTGCTCTGTGCAGTCATTTGCCTTTTAAATATTCCTCTGTTTATACAGATTTGCACGGCTTTTTTTTCATGATACGCTGTTCCCCTGCATCTTATTTTCCTTCTCTTTAACGAGCCTAACAGCTACAGAAATACAGAAAGTCAAACACGCGGCCCGAGGTGATAATTCTGAACAAATACTCCTGATATATTTTCAAATGTTTGCACAAAATAAAGCCGACAAACTTCTGGGAAATTAGCTCGACTGATTCAACCCTCCAAGTCACACAGACGCGCAGTGAGACACAGGCCTCTGTCTGTCAGGGTCACATGTGGGCGCACAGCTCATAAAAGTGGTGCAGAGAGGGAGAGCGGGCGGGGGAGGGGGGAGATGGGGGTTATAGCTGACCTGACGCTGCAGCAGGTGACACAGTGACATTGATGGAGATATTTACCTTCAACTCTGAAGACAGGAGGATGCTGTCCGCTCTTTTCATTGCAGCAGTCAGTCCAGAAACCTGTGAAGCTCATCCTGCGTCCATTTCTACACGAGTTTTTTTTTCATCTCTGCTCAATAATTCACATTTTCGACCGCGTTAGTCCGTGTTTGTTGTCCCACTTCCAGTATAAAAGTCTGAAATAGCTCGGGTTTTAGTAGCTGTTGAGATAATGTTCCCTCCACCTCTGCTGACTGATGGGGTCAGTGTGTCTGTGGGATAAAAAATGTGTATTTCCTGACACATTACACCCTGACCTACATTTTTCATTTTATTGCATTGCTTTTCTTCTCCACTTTATTCCTCCGCTCTCTCCGCTCTGACAGGCCGAGTTGGCAGTGCAACTCAGATTGGTGTGAAATCGCCGCCTAACAGGCGGGAAATTGGCTCTGTTATTTTTGGAGCAGAGTCATGGGGGACCGTCGGACCATCATCCACTCTCTAATGAGCAGGTGATGGAGGCGTAGCTGGGGAAGGAGGGAAGCCTGGCATCTGAAAACACGCCGTAGATGAACAGATGAGAGCGGCGAGGGAAACGACGCCGAGAGAAACAGGAGGACGAGACGGTGCGAGGAGGAGATTTCATGTGGCTCATATGAAAATCATCATTAGATTAGCCGAATATTAATAACCTCTGTTGACATCCGCCTCTGCTGCAAATGAGTGTTAACAGGGCCGGACTTGGCCTGCACACTGTGTGTGTGTTTCTGAGCTGATGGATTCTGGGGGTTGGGCTGACTGTGGCCACGAAAGAAGTGTCAGGAACAATATCATCTGCAGCCAAAGCGGAACATCCACCATAGCAGAGGAGCGTCCCCCGTCCTTTTTGGTCTGATACACAGTCACACACTGTGGAGCTGAGAGCTTAACGCACCAAACTCCAGAGAAAAAAAACAGAAAAATAAAGCTGCAAGAAAAGACGAACACAGACAGTGTGATGCTTTCACGCCACAAAATTAAACCGGTTTGGTTGAGCTGCATGTCTTTGGTGTTTCAGTTTATTCAGTATGTTCAAGATTTTAAAGAACAGGAAGTTCTAACCCTAACCCTAGTGCTTAATCTAGCCCCAACTGTGGCCCTGGCCCTAACCCTAACCATTATGAGGGCCCTAACCCTAACCCTAGCGCCATCTAGCCCCAACCGTGGCCTTAACCCTAACCCTAACCCTAGCCCTAGCCTCGGATTCTAACCCTAACCCTAACCCTAACCCTAGCAGGGGAATAAAGGGTTAATATTACAAACTAAATACAGCCTTAAATTAAGTTAAATAAAACTAAATATCCGAGAGAAAATCAGTTATTTTCTTCACCAAAGGGTATAAAAGGGAAAACAGGACAGGGAATATTCATTTTCATTTGGATGCTGACTGGGTAAACCCCTATGAATTGGGGCCCAGCAGCTATGAAATTTATGTGTGCATAGACCTGAAGAAGACCAAACTAGGTCGAAACGTTGTCGCGATGCACACCAACTGTACATAGTTCATGTGTTGATCATGTACCTGTTTGTTTGTTTGTTTGTGTGTTTGTGTGTATAAAAACAATTAATAACCTAAAAAAGAGATTAATTAAACAACAATCATGTTACACAACACACCAAAACTAAATCAAATACAAACCTTAAACACAAATTAGTGATCCATGGGGGCCGGGGGAGCGTGTCCAGTGGGCGAAGGCCCGTGCATTCCCCGCTCCCCGCAGACCCAAGTAGGGTCACTATAGGGGAGACGGGATTATTTCCCCTCACCTTACCAGCCAGTGCCTCGTCCATCGCGGGTGCGTTTCCTCGGTCCCCAACCTGCAAAGCCTAAATAAAGAGTACTAATCCTAACCCTGATCCTGGCGCTTTAGCATTTCCCGCTCCCCGCAGACCCAAGTAGGGTCACTATAGGAGAGACGGGATTCATTTCTAGCCCCAACCGTGGCCCTGGCCCTAACCCTAACCATTATGAGGGCCCTAACCCTAACCCTAGTGCTTTATCTAGCCCCAACTGTGGCCCTGGCCCTAACCCTAACCATTATGAGGGCCCTAACCCTAACGCCATCTAGCCCCAACCGTGGCCTTAACCCTAACCCTAACCCTAGCCCTAGCCTCGGATTCTAACCCTAACCCTAACCCTAACCCTAGCAGGGGAATAAAGGGTTAATATTACAAACTAAATACAGCCTTAAATTAAGTTAAATAAAACTAAATATCCGAGAGAAAATCAGTTATTTTCTTCACCAAAGGGTATAAAAGGGAAAACAGGACAGGGAATATTCATTTTCATTTGGATGCTGACTGGGTAAACCCCTATGAATTGGGGCCCAGCAGCTATGAAATTTATGTGTGCATAGACCTGAAGAGGACCAAACTAGGTCCAAACGTTGTCGCAATGCACACCAACTGTACATAGTTCATGTGTTGATCATGTACCTGTTTGTTTGTTTGTTTGTGTGTTTGTGTGTATAAAAACAATTAATAACCTAAAAAAGAGATTAATTAAACAACAATCATGTTACACAACACACCAAAACTAAATCAAATACAAACCTTAAACACAAATTAGTGATCCATGGGGGCCGGGGGAGCGTGTCCAGTGGGCGAAGGCCCGTGCATTCCCCGCTCCCCGCAGACCCAAGTAGGGTCACTATAGGGGAGACGGGATTATTTCCCCTCACCTAACCCTAACCCTAACCCCCCCTAACCCTAACCCTAACCCTAGCTTGGGCTCTTGCCCTAACCCTAGCCCTAGCCCTAACCTGGGCTCTAACCCTAACCCTAGCCCTAACCCTAACCCTAACCCTAGCCCTAACCCTAACCCTAGCTTGGGCTCTAACCCTAACCCTAACCCTAACCCTAACCCTAACCCTAGGTCAAACCCTAACCCTAACCATAGGGGGTTAATAAATAAATAAATAAATAAATAAATACTTATATAAATAAGAGCATATATTACATGGTAAATTATCTACAAGGGTGCTAAAGGGTTAAAAGAGTAAATAGAAAAAGGGTTTATAATTTAGTTAAAAAATAAGTAAATTCATGGTAATTTTCTTTTGGCAAGTATAAAAGGCAGAGCAGAGGAGGAAAATTCATTTTCACTCTGACAGCCACTAAGTAAAGACCTACTTTCTACCACTGTTTGCTTTATTGTGTGTGCCTTGGCCTGAGGAAGACCGATACAGGTCGAAACGTAGCATCATAGGCACACAATAGGAATGCTAAGAATAGTTATCATTGTGAAAAACAAATAAAAACATTCTAAAAAAATTAAAAAACAAAAAAATACAAAAAAATAAAAAAAATACAAAAAAATGTAAACACAGTTACAAACAGTTTATTTTGAGGGTATTTAATCACAGTTTTAGTTAATTAAGAAGTTCAAATAAGAACAAAATCAACATTTTATTTTAAGAAAGGGTTTAAAAACAGTTATTTTATTTTGTATTACAAACAGCATCTCTATAAAAACAATCATAATCTCATTTAAGTAAAATCTTTATAAAAAACAATAAGGAAATCACAATTTTGTTTAAGAAAGAGTTTTATTTCATTTATTTCTGTGGGATAAAATCACAATTTTAATTTAAACATATAAAAATCTTAAAACAAAGTATGATGGCCACTCCACGCAGGAGTGGCTTTGACGGCTGGACGGAGGTCCGCTTTGGCCGTAAAGGCCAGCGCTTCCGCCAGCCATTCCGGGACCGGGGGAACGTGTCCAGTCGAGGGAAGGCCCGTGCATTTCCCGCCCCCTATGGAAGACAGGATTCATTCCCCAAACCTAACCCTAACCCTAACCCTAACCCTAGCCTTTTCGGGACTGGGGAGGCGTTCCGTTGAGGAAGAAGGCCCGTGCATTTTTGGCCCCTTGTGGGCTGCAGGGGGCAATCCCCTCACCCAAACCTAACCCTAACCCTAACCCCTAACCCTAACCCTAACCCTAACCCCTAACCCCTAACCCTAACACTAACCACTAACCCTAACCACTGGCCCTAATTTGGCCCTAACCCTAACCACTAACCCTAATCTGGCCCTAACCCTAACCCTAACCACTAACCCTAATCTGGCCCTAACCCTAACCCTAACCACTAACCCTAATCTGGCACTAACCCTAACCCTAACCCTAATCTGGCACTAACCCTAACCCTAGTGGTAACCCTAACCCTAACCCTAGGCTAAGAATAAACATATTACTTCGATAATAAATAAATAAATAAATAAATACATTTCGGTTCTCTCTATATATTTCATGTTAAAAGGTTAAAAGAATAAATAGTGGTCTAAGGGTTAAAAGTTTAAACTAAAAACAGTACATAATTAATATGGAAAATACAAGAAATTCATTTAATTATTTGACAGGGACTATAAAACAGACAAGTGGGCGGGGAATATTCATTCTTTTTCAGACAGTTGCTTGGTGAACAACAGTTATTTAGCAGCCAGCAATTTTTCTTTATTCACAAGTATTTCCTTTTATTTCTTACCTGAGAGCATAAATATAGAGAAGTGGGCAGGGACAATTCACTCTCGCTCAGACGCTTGCCTGGTGAACAACCAAAAAATCATTGACCAGCAGCTCTTTCATTTATTTCATTGTGTGCCTTTACCTGAAGAAGACCTAATTAAGGTCGAAACGTCGTTTAATTGGGCACACATTGTTTTTTGTACATAGTTCATTCAAAGTTCATGTATAGTATCTTATTGTGTGTGTAAAAAACCTTAAAAAAAACAATAAAAAAATTAAAAAACATTTAAAAACACTAAAGAAGTTTAAAAACATTTTAAAAAAACATTTAAAAACAGTAAAAAACACTAATCATCTTAAAACTTACCTCTTGAAGCCACTCCAGCATGAGTGGCTATGAACACGGCTGGACGGAAGTACGGCATGACACGAAAGGCCAGCGTCTCCACCAGCCTTTTCGGGACTGGGGAGGCGTTCCGTTGAGGAAGAAGGCCCGTGCATTTTTGGCCCCTTGTGGGCTGCAGGGGGCAATCCCCTCACCCAAACCATGCAGACTCTTGATGAGACAACATCTTAAGCATTACCAGCCAGCAGCTTTTGTTTGACCATTCAAGTCACAGTTTTTTTTGTTTCTTTCTTTGTTGTGTGCCAAGAGACCTGAGGAAGACCCACAGGAGGTCGAAACGTTGTCGTGGGCACACATATTTCATTGTACATAGTTTATTTTGTAAAAAAGTTAAAAAAATAACTAAAAAAATCTAAAAAAATTTAAAAACTTGATAAAAACTTAAAAAACATCAAAAAATATTTTAAAACATTTTTAAAAAGTTGGAAATACATTTTATTTTACTTTTTATTAAAACAATCAGCATTTTATTTTAAGAAAAGTTTAAATTTGAAGTTAAGTTTCCTTTGTTAATACAGATAGGTTTCCTTTTATAGGTAAAAATCAGTCTTTTATTTCTTTAAACAAACCAATATTTTAAATAAATAAAAACATTTCAATAGCCACTCCAACATGAGTGGCTACAATCAAGGCTGGACGGAAGTCAGATACGGCCAGAGGGCTCGACGTTTCCGCCAGCAGTCTTGGGACCGTAGGGACGGGTACGGATGGGGGAAGGCCAGCGCATTCCCCGCTCCTTATGGGAGACGGGACAGAGTCCCCTCACCCTAACCCTAACCCTAACCCCTAACCCTAACCCTAAACCCTAACCCTAACCCTAAACCCTAACCCCTAACCCTAACCCTAACCCCCTAACCCTAACCCAATCAATAACCTAAAAAAAGAGATTAATTAAACAACAATCATGTTACACAACACACTAAAACCAAATTAAATACAAACCTTAAACACAAATTAGTGATCCATGGGGGCCGGGGGAGCGTGTCCGGTGGGCAAAGGCCCGTGCATTCCCCGCTCCCCGCAGACCCAAGTAGGGTCACTATAGGGGAGACGGGATTATTTCCCCTCACCTTACCAGCCAGTGCCTCATCCATCGCTGGTGCGTTTCCTCGGTCCCCAACCTGCAAAGCCTAAATAAAGTGCTACTAATCCTAACCCTGATCCTGGCGCTTTAGCAATTCCCGCTCCCCGCAGACCCAAGTAGGGTCACTATAGGAGAGACGGGATTCATTTCTAGCCCCAACCGTGGCCCTGGCCCTAACCCTAACCATTATGAGGGCCCTAACCCTAACCCTAGCGCTTGATGTAGCCCAAACCGTGGCCCTGACCCTAACCCTAACCGTCGCGCTAGCCCTAAACCCTAACCCTAGCGCTTGATCTAGCCCCAACCGTGGCCCTAACCCTAAGCCTAACCCTAGCCCTAGCCTCGGATTTGAACCCTAACCCTAATACTGACCCTAACCCTAACCCTACTGGTCAGTTTAAGCCTAACCACAGGAGAAATATAAATATATTATTCAGAATTAAAAACCAAACAGCGATTAAAGGGTTAACATTTTACAAACTAAATAGAGTTGAATTTAAACTAAATATCCGAGAGAAATTCAGTTAATTTCTTGTCCAAAGGGTATAAAAGGGAAAACAGGACATGTGTGCATAGACCTGATGAAGACCAAATAAGGTCGAAACGTCGTCGCGATGCACACCAATTGTACATAGTTCATGTGTGTTCATGTACCTGTTTGTCTGTTTGTTTGTGTGTTTGTGTGTACAAAAACAATCAATAACCTAAAAAAAGAGATTAATTAAACAACAATCATGTTACACAACACACTAAAACCAAATTAAATACAAACCTTAAACACAAATTAGTGATCCATGGGGGCCGGGGGAGCGTGTCCGGTGGGCGAAGGCCCGTGCATTCCCCGCTCCCCGCAGACCCAAGTAGGGTCACTATAGGGGAGACGGGATTATTTCCCCTCACCTAACCCTAGGACAGTTAAAAATTAAATATATTAATTTTAAATAAATAACACATAAATAAATAAATACATTTTAATAAATACATGGGATACAGATCATTATTATATAGTAAAGGGTTAAAAGTAATTCATAGTTAAGGGCTTAAAATTTAAAATTTAAAAGGGCACATGATAATAAAATAACAAAATTCATTATAAATATTCGCCAGAGACTATGAAAGGGAGAAGTGGGTTGGGCTTAATCATTTCCATTTTGAAGCTTGAGGAGAGAACATCATTTACTCTTACCAGCCAGCATCCTTTGTTTTCTTTATTCAGAGACAGTTTTTTTCTTTTGTTTGTTTGTTGTGTGCCAGAAGACCTGAAGAAGACCCACAAGGGGTCGAAACGTTGTCGTGGGCACACATATTTCATTGTAAATAGTTTATTTTGAAGAAAAAAAGACCAAAAAAATCAAAAAATATTTAAAAACTCTAAAAAAAACTTTAAAAACATCAAAAAATATTTAAAAACATTTAAAAACAGTTTGAAATTCATTTTATTTTACATTTTTACTAAAACAATCAGCAATTTATTTTAAGAAAAGTTTAAATATTAAAAGTTAAGTTTCCTTTGTTTTTTCAGATAGGTTTCCTTTTATAGGTAAAAATCTGTTTTTTATTTCTTTAAAACAAACCAATATATATTCATATAAATAAATAAAAACACTTTTATAGCCACTCCAACATGAGTGGCTACAATCAAGGCTGGACGGAAGTCAGATACGGCCGGAGGGCTCGACGTTTCCGCCAGCAATCTTGGGACCGTAGGGACGGGTACGGATGGGGGAAGGCCAGCGCATTCCCCGCTCCTTATGGGAGACGGGACAGAGTCCCCTCACCTAACTAGTTTGAAGGTTTTTGAGCATGTGTAATGGCATGAATGCGTTAAGCTGTTGTTTTAGTGTTCTTTTGATGAGTTTGGCTTGTTGTTATGAAAAGTGTTTGTTTTGGCGAGTTTGAACGTTTTTGAGCATGTGTAATGGCATGAATGCGTTAAGCTGTTGTTTTAGTGTTCTTTTGATGAGTTTGGCTTGTTGTTATGAAAAGTGTTTGTTTTGGCGAGTTTGAACGTTTTTGAGCATGTGTAATGGCATGAATGCGTTAAGCCGTTGTTTCAGTGTTCTTTTGATGAGTTTGGCTTGTTGTTATGAAAAGTGTTTGTTTTGGCGAGTTTGAACGTTTTTGAGCTTGTGTAATGGCATGAATGCGTTAACCTGTTGTTTTAGTGTTCTTTTGATGAGTTTGGCTTGTTGTTATGAAAAGTGTTTGTTTTGGAGAGTTTGAACGTTTTTGAGCATGTGTAATGGCATGAATGCGTTAAGCTGTTGTTTTAGTGTTCTTTTGATGAGTATTGGCTTGTCATGAGCATTGTTTGTTTTGGCGAGTTTGAAGGTTTTTGAGTATGTGTAATGGCATGAATGTGTGAAGCTGTTGTTTTAGTGTTCTTATGATGAGTTAGGCTTGTTGTTATGAACAGATTGTTTTGGCGAGTTTGAAGGTTTTTGAGCATGTTTAAAGGCATGTTTGTGTTAAGCAGTTGTTTTAGTGTTCTTTTGATAAGTTTGGCTAATTATGAAAAGTGTTTGTTTTGGCGAGTTTGAACGTTTTTGAGCATGTGTAATGGCATGAATGCGTTAAGCTGTTGTTTTAGTGTTCTTTTGATGAGTTTGGCTTGTTGTTATGAACAGTGTTTGTTTTGGCGAGTTTGAACGTTTTTGAGCATGTGTAATGGCATGAATGTGTTGAATTAGTAATCCCTTGTGTAAAGCCGTTGTTTTAGTGTTCTTTTGATGAGTTTGGCTTGTTGTTACGAAAAAGTGTTTGTTTTGGCGAGTTTGAACGTTTTTGAGCATGTGTAATGGCATGAATGCGTTAAGCTGTTGTTTTAGTTTTCTTTTGATGAGTTTGGCTTGTTGTTATGAACATTGTTCGTTTTAGCCAGTTTGAAGGTTTTTTAGCAAGTGTAATTGGCATGAATGTGTTGAATTAGTAATCCCTTGTGTTTAGCCGTTGTTTTAGTGTTCTTTTGATGAGTTTGGCTTGTTGTTATGAAGAGTGTTTGTTTTGGCGAGTTTGAACGTTTCTGAGCATGTGTAATGGCATGAATGCGTTAAGCCGTTATTTTAGTGTTCTTTTGATGAGTTTGGCTTGTTGTTCTGAAAAGTGTTTGTTTTGGCGAGTTTGAACGTTTTTGAGCATGTGTAATGGCATGAATGCGTTAAGCCGTTGTTTTAGTGTTCTTTTGATGAGTTTGGCTTGTTGTTATGAAAAGTGTTTGTTTTGGCGAGTTTGAACGTTTTTGAGCATGTGTAATGGCATGAATGCGTTGAATTAGTAATCCCTTGTGTAAAGCCGTTGTTTTAGTGTTCTTTTGATGAGTTTGGCTTGTTGTTATGAAAAGTGTTTGTTTTGGCGAGTTTGAACGTTTTTGAGCATGTGTAATGGCATGAATGCGTTAAGCTGTTGTTTTAGTGTTCTTTTGATGAGTTTGGCTTGTTGTTATGAAAAGTGTTTGTTTTGGCGAGTTTGAACGTTTTGAGCATGTGTAATGGCATGAATGCGTTAAGCTGTTGTTTTAGTGTTCTTTTGATGAGTTTGGCTTGTTGTTATGAAAAGTGTTTGTTTTGGCGAGTTTGAACGTTTTTGAGCATGTGTAATGGCATGAATGCGTTAAGCTGTTGTTTTAGTGTTCTTTTGATGAGTTTGGCTTGTTGTTATGAAAAGTGTTTGTTTTGGCGAGTTTGAACGTTTTTGAGCATGTGTAATGGCATGAATGCGTTAAGCTTTTGTTTTAGTGTTCTTTTGATGAGTTTGGCTTGTTGTTACCAAAAGTGTATGTTTTGGCGAGTTTGAACGTTTTTGAGCATGTGTAATGGCATGAATGTGTTGAATTAGTAATCCTTTGTGTTAAGCTGTTGTTTTAGTGTTCTTTTGATGAGTTTGGCTTGTTGTTATGAAAAGTGTTTTTTTTGCGAGTTTGAACGTTTTTGAGCATGTGTAATGGCATGAATGTGTTGAATTAGTAATCCCTTGTGTTAAAGCTGTTGTTTTAGTGTTCTTTTGATGAGTTTTGCTTGTTGTTATGAAAAGTGTTTGTTTTGGCGAGTTTGAACGTTTTTGAGCATGTGTAATGGCATGAATGCGTTAAGCTGTTGTTTTAGTGTTCTTTTGATGAGTTTGGCTTGTTATGAAAAGTGTTTGTTTTGGCGAGTTTGAACGTTTTTGAGCATGTGTAATGGCATGAATGCGTTAAGCTGTTGTTTCAGTGTTCTTTTGATGAGTTTGGCTTGTTGTTATGAACATTGTTCGTTTTGGCCAGTTTGAAGGTTTTTGAGCATGTGTAATGGCATGAATGTGTTTAATTAGTAATTCCTTGTGTAAAGCTGTTGTTTTAGTGTTCTTTTGATGAGTTTGGCTTGTTGTTATGAACAGTGTTTGTTTTTGCGAGTTTGAACATTTTTGAGCATGTGTAATGGCATGAATGCGTTAAACTGTTGTTTTAGTGTTCTTTTGATGAGATTGGCTTGTTGTTATGAACATTGTTCGTTTTGGCCTGTTTGAAGGTTTTTGAGCATGTGTAATGGCATGAATGTGTTGAATTAGTAATCCCTTGTGTTAAGCTGTTGTTTTAGTGTTCTTTTGATGAGTTTTGCTTGTTGTTATGAAAAGTGTTTGTTTTGGCGAGTTTGAAGGTTTCTGAGCATGTGTAATGGCATGAATGCGTTAAGCTGTTGTTTTAGTGTTGTTTTGATGAGTATTGGCTTGTCATGAGCATTGTTTGTTTTGGCGAGTTTGAACGTTTTTGAGCATGTGTAATGGCATGAATGCGTTAAGCTGTTGTTTTAGTGTTCTTTTGATGAGTTTGGCTTGTTGTTATGAACATTGTTTGTTTTGGCGAGTTTGAACGTTTTTGAGCATGTGTAATGGCATGAATGTGTTGAATTAGTAATCCCTTGTGTAAAGCCGTTGTTTTAGTGTTCTTTTGATGAGTTTGGCTTGTTGTTATGAAAAGTGTTTGTTTTGGCGAGTTTGAACGTTTTGAGCATGTGTAATGGCATGAATGCGTTAAGCTGTTGTTTTAGTGCTCTTTTAATGAGTTTGGCTTGTTGTTATGAAAAGTGTTTGTTTTGGCGAGTTTGAACGTTTTTTTGCATGTGTAATGGCATGAATGTGTTAAGCTGTTGTTTTAGTGTTCTTTTGATGAGTTTGGCTTGTTGTTATGAAAAGTGTTTGTTTTGGCGAGTTTGAACGTTTCTGAGCATGTGTAATGGCATGAATGCGTTAAGCTGTTGTTTTAGTGTTCTTTTGATGAGTTTGGCTTGTTGTTATGAAAAGTGTTTGTTTTGGCGAGTTTGAACGTTTTTGAGCATGTGTAATGGCATGAATGCGTTAAGCTTTTGTTTTAGTGTTCTTTTGATGAGTTTGGCTTGTTGTTACCAAAAGTGTATGTTTTGGCGAGTTTGAACGTTTTTGAGCATGTGTAATGGCATGAATGCGTTAAGCTGTTGTTTTAGTGTTCTTTTGATGAGTTTGGCTTGTTGTTATGAACATTGTTCGTTTTGGCCAGTTTGAAGGTTTTTGAGCATGTGTAATGGCATGAATGTGTTGAATTAGTAATCCTTTGTGTTAAGCTGTTGTTTTAGTGTTCCTTTGATGAGTTTGGCTTGTTGTTATGAAAAGTGTTTTTTTTGCGAGTTTGAACGTTTTTGAGCATGTGTAATGGCATGAATGTGTTGAATTAGTAATCCCTTGTGTTAAAGCTGTTGTTTTAGTGTTCTTTTGATGAGTTTTGCTTGTTGTTATGAAAAGTGTTTGTTTTGGCGAGTTTGAACGTTTTTGAGCATGTGTAATGGCATGAATGCGTTAAGCTGTTGTTTTAGTGTTCTTTTGATGAGTTTGGCTTGTTGTTATGAAAAGTGTTTGTTTTGGCGAGTTTGAACGTTTTTGAGCATGTGTAATGGCATGAATGCGTTAAGCTGTTGTTTCAGTGTTCTTTTGATGAGTTTGGCTTGTTGTTATGAACATTGTTCGTTTTGGCCAGTTTGAAGGTTTTTGAGCATGTGTAATGGCATGAATGTGTTTAATTAGTAATTCCTTGTGTAAAGCTGTTGTTTTAGTGTTCTTTTGATGAGTTTGGCTTGTTGTTATGAACAGTGTTTGTTTTTGCGAGTTTGAACATTTTTGAGCATGTGTAATGGCATGAATGCGTTAAACTGTTGTTTTAGTGTTCTTTTGATGAGATTGGCTTGTTGTTATGAACATTGTTCGTTTTGGCCTGTTTGAAGGTTTTTGAGCATGTGTAATGGCATGAATGTGTTGAATTAGTAATCCCTTGTGTTAAAGCTGTTGTTTTAGTGTTCTTTTGATGAGTTTTGCTTGTTGTTATGAAAAGTGTTTGTTTTGGCGAGTTTGAACGTTTTTGAGCATGTGTAATGGCATGAATGCGTTAAGCTGTTGTTTTAGTGTTCTTTTGATGAGTTTGGCTTGTTATGAAAAGTGTTTGTTTTGGCGAGTTTGAACGTTTTTGAGCATGTGTAATGGCATGAATGCGTTAAGCTGTTGTTTCAGTGTTCTTTTGATGAGTTTGGCTTGTTGTTATGAACATTGTTCGTTTTGGCCAGTTTGAAGGTTTTTGAGCATGTGTAATGGCATGAATGTGTTTAATTAGTAATTCCTTGTGTAAAGCTGTTGTTTTAGTGTTCTTTTGATGAGTTTGGCTTGTTGTTATGAACAGTGTTTGTTTTTGCGAGTTTGAACATTTTTGAGCATGTGTAATGGCATGAATGCGTTAAACTGTTGTTTTAGTGTTCTTTTGATGAGATTGGCTTGTTGTTATGAACATTGTTCGTTTTGGCCTGTTTGAAGGTTTTTGAGCATGTGTAATGGCATGAATGTGTTGAATTAGTAATTCCTTGTGTTAAGCTGTTGTTTTAGTGTTCTTTTGATGAGTTTTGCTTGTTGTTATGAAAAGTGTTTGTTTTGGCGAGTTTGAACGTTTTTGAGCATGTCTAATGGCATGAATGCGTTAAGCTGTTGTTTTAGTGTTCTTTTGATGAGTTTGGCTTGTTGTTATGAAAAGTGTTTGTTTTAACCAGTTTGAACCTTTTATGAGCATGTGTAATGGCATGAATGCGTTAAGCTCTTGTTTCAGTGTTCTTTTGATGAGTTTGGCTTGTTGTTATGAACATTGTTCGTTTTGGCGAGTTTGAAGGTTTTTGAGCATGTGTAATGGCATGAATGTGTTGAATTAGTAATTCCTTGTGTAAAGCTGTTGTTTTAGTGTTCTTTTGATGAGTTTGGCTTGTTGTTATGAACAGTGTTTGTTTTTGCGAGTTTGAAGGTTTCTGAGCATGTGTAATGGCATGAATGCGTTAAGCTGTTGTTTTAGTGTTGTTTTGATGAGTATTGGCTTGTCATGAGCATTGTTTGTTTTGGCGAGTTTGAACGTTTTTGAGCATGTGTAATGGCATGAATGCGTTAAGCTGTTGTTTTAGTGCTCTTTTAATGAGTTTGGCTTGTTGTTATGAAAAGTGTTTGTTTTGGCGAGTTTGAACGTTTTTTTGCATGTGTAATGGCATGAATGTGTTAAGCTGTTGTTTTAGTGTTCTTTTGATGAGTTTGGCTTGTTGTTATGAAAAGTGTTTGTTTTGGCGAGTTTGAACGTTTCTGAGCATGTGTAATGGCATGAATGCGTTAAGCTGTTGTTTTAGTGTTCTTTTGATGAGTTTGGCTTGTTGTTATGAAAAGTGTTTGTTTTGGCGAGTTTGAACGTTTTTGAGCATGTGTAATGGCATGAATGCGTTAAGCTTTTGTTTTAGTGTTCTTTTGATGAGTTTGGCTTGTTGTTACCAAAAGTGTATGTTTTGGCGAGTTTGAACGTTTTTGAGCATGTGTAATGGCATGAATGCGTTAAGCTGTTGTTTTAGTGTTCTTTTGATGAGTTTGGCTTGTTGTTATGAACATTGTTCGTTTTGGCCAGTTTGAAGGTTTTTGAGCATGTGTAATGGCATGAATGTGTTGAATTAGTAATCCTTTGTGTTAAGCTGTTGTTTTAGTGTTCCTTTGATGAGTTTGGCTTGTTGTTATGAAAAGTGTTTTTTTTGCGAGTTTGAACGTTTTTGAGCATGTGTAATGGCATGAATGTGTTGAATTAGTAATCCCTTGTGTTAAAGCTGTTGTTTTAGTGTTCTTTTGATGAGTTTTGCTTGTTGTTATGAAAAGTGTTTGTTTTGGCGAGTTTGAACGTTTTTGAGCATGTGTAATGGCATGAATGCGTTAAGCTGTTGTTTTAGTGTTCTTTTGATGAGTTTGGCTTGTTATGAAAAGTGTTTGTTTTGGCGAGTTTGAACGTTTTTGAGCATGTGTAATGGCATGAATGCGTTAAGCTGTTGTTTCAGTGTTCTTTTGATGAGTTTGGCTTGTTGTTATGAACATTGTTCGTTTTGGCCAGTTTGAAGGTTTTTGAGCATGTGTAATGGCATGAATGTGTTTAATTAGTAATTCCTTGTGTAAAGCTGTTGTTTTAGTGTTCTTTTGATGAGTTTGGCTTGTTGTTATGAACAGTGTTTGTTTTTGCGAGTTTGAACATTTTTGAGCATGTGTAATGGCATGAATGCGTTAAACTGTTGTTTTAGTGTTCTTTTGATGAGATTGGCTTGTTGTTATGAACATTGTTCGTTTTGGCCTGTTTGAAGGTTTTTGAGCATGTGTAATGGCATGAATGTGTTGAATTAGTAATTCCTTGTGTTAAGCTGTTGTTTTAGTGTTCTTTTGATGAGTTTTGCTTGTTGTTATGAAAAGTGTTTGTTTTGGCGAGTTTGAACGTTTTTGAGCATGTCTAATGGCATGAATGCGTTAAGCTGTTGTTTTAGTGTTCTTTTGATGAGTTTGGCTTGTTGTTATGAAAAGTGTTTGTTTTAACCAGTTTGAACCTTTTATGAGCATGTGTAATGGCATGAATGCGTTAAGCTCTTGTTTCAGTGTTCTTTTGATGAGTTTGGCTTGTTGTTATGAACATTGTTCGTTTTGGCGAGTTTGAAGGTTTTTGAGCATGTGTAATGGCATGAATGTGTTGAATTAGTAATTCCTTGTGTAAAGCTGTTGTTTTAGTGTTCTTTTGATGAGTTTGGCTTGTTGTTATGAACAGTGTTTGTTTTTGCGAGTTTGAAGGTTTCTGAGCATGTGTAATGGCATGAATGCGTTAAGCTGTTGTTTTAGTGTTGTTTTGATGAGTATTGGCTTGTCATGAGCATTGTTTGTTTTGGCGAGTTTGAACGTTTTTGAGCATGTGTAATGGCATGAATGCGTTAAGCTGTTGTTTTAGTGTTCTTTTGATGAGTTTGGCTTGTTGTTATGAACATTGTTTGTTTTGGCGAGTTTGAACGTTTTTGAGCATGTGTAATGGCATGAATGTGTTGAATTAGTAATCCCTTGTGTAAAGCCGTTGTTTTAGTGTTCTTTTGATGAGTTTGGCTTGTTGTTATGAAAAGTGTTTGTTTTGGCGAGTTTGAACGTTTTTGAGCATGTGTAATGGCATGAATGCGTTAAGCTGTTGTTTTAGTGCTCTTTTAATGAGTTTGGCTTGTTGTTATGAAAAGTGTTTGTTTTGGCGAGTTTGAACGTTTTTTTGCATGTGTAATGGCATGAATGTGTTAAGCTGTTGTTTTAGTGTTCTTTTGATGAGTTTGGCTTGTTGTTATGAAAAGTGTTTGTTTTGGCGAGTTTGAACGTTTCTGAGCATGTGTAATGGCATGAATGCGTTAAGCTGTTGTTTTAGTGTTCTTTTGATGAGTTTGGCTTGTTGTTATGAAAAGTGTTTGTTTTGGCGAGTTTGAACGTTTTTGAGCATGTGTAATGGCATGAATGCGTTAAGCTTTTGTTTTAGTGTTCTTTTGATGAGTTTGGCTTGTTGTTACCAAAAGTGTATGTTTTGGCGAGTTTGAACGTTTTTGAGCATGTGTAATGGCATGAATGCGTTAAGCTGTTGTTTTAGTGTTCTTTTGATGAGTTTGGCTTGTTGTTATGAACATTGTTCGTTTTGGCCAGTTTGAAGGTTTTTGAGCATGTGTAATGGCATGAATGTGTTGAATTAGTAATCCTTTGTGTTAAGCTGTTGTTTTAGTGTTCTTTTGATGAGTTTGGCTTGTTGTTATGAAAAGTGTTTTTTTTGCGAGTTTGAACGTTTTTAAGCATGTGTAATGGCATGAATGTGTTGAATTAGTAATCCCTTGTGTTAAGCTGTTGTTTTAGTGTTCTTTTGATGAGTTTTGCTTGTTGTTATGAAAAGTGTTTGTTTTGGCGAGTTTGAACGTTTTTGAGCATGTGTAATGGCATGAATGCGTTAAGCTGTTGTTTTAGTGTTCTTTTGATGAGTTTGGCTTGTTATGAAAAGTGTTTGTTTTGGCGAGTTTGAACGTTTTTGAGCATGTGTAATGGCATGAATGCGTAAAGCTGTTGTTTCAGTGTTCTTTTGATGAGTTTGGCTTGTTGTTATGAACATTGTTCGTTTTGGCCAGTTTGAAGGTTTTTGAGCATGTGTAATGGCATGAATGTGTTGAATTAGTAATCCCTTGTGTTAAGCTGTTGTTTTAGTGTTCTTTTGATGAGTTTTGCTTGTTGTTATGAAAAGTGTTTGTTTTGGCGAGTTTGAAGTTTTTGAGCATGTGTAATGGCATGAATGCGTTAAGCTGTTGTTTTAGTGTTCTTTTGATGAGTTTGGCTTGTTGTTATGAAAAGTGTTTGTTTTGGCCAGTTTGAACCTTTTATGAGCATGTGTAATGGCATGAATGCGTTAAGCTGTTGTTTCAGTGTTCTTTTGATGAGTTTGGCTTGTTGTTATGAACATTGTTCGTTTTGGCGAGTTTGAAGGTTTTTGAGCATGTGTAATGGCATGAATGTGTTGAATTAGTAATTCCTTGTGTAAAGCTGTTGTTTTAGTGTTCTTTTGATGAGTTTGGCTTGTTGTTATGAACAGTGTTTGTTTTTGCGAGTTTGAAGGTTTCTGAGCATGTGTAATGGCATGAATGCGTTAAGCTGTTGTTTTAGTGTTGTTTTGATGAGTATTGGCTTGTCATGAGCATTGTTTGTTTTGGCGAGTTTGAACGTTTTTGAGCATGTGTAATGGCATGAATGCGTTAAGCTGTTGTTTTAGTGTTCTTTTGATGAGTTTGGCTTGTTGTTATGAACATTGTTTGTTTTGGCGAGTTTGAACGTTTTTGAGCATGTGTAATGGCATGAATGTGTTGAATTAGTAATCCCTTGTGTAAAGCCGTTGTTTTAGTGTTCTTTTGATGAGTTTGGCTTGTTGTTACGAAAAAGTGTTTGTTTTGGCGAGTTTGAACGTTTTTGAGCATGTGTAATGGCATGAATGCGTTAAGCTGTTGTTTTAGTTTTCTTTTGATGAGTTTGGCTTGTTGTTATGAACATTGTTCGTTTTAGCCAGTTTGAAGGTTTTTTAGCAAGTGTAATGGCTTGAATGTGTTGAATTAGTAATCTCTTGTGTTAAGCCGTTGTTTTAGTGTTCTTTTGATGAGTTTGGCTTGTTGTTATGAAAAGTGTTTGTTTTGGCGAGTTTGAACGTTTCTGAGCATGTGTAATGGCATGAATGCGTTAAGCCGTTGTTTTAGTGTTCTTTTGATGAGCTTGGCTTGTTGTTCTGAAAAGTGTTTGTTTTGGCGAGTTTGAACGTTTTTGAGCATGTGTAATGGCATGAATGCGTTAAGCCGTTGTTTTAGTGTTCTTTTGATGAGTTTGGCTTGTTGTTATGAAAAGTGTTTGTTTTGGCGAGTTTGAACGTTTTTGAGCATGTGTAATGGCATGAATGCGTTAAGCCGTTGTTTTAGTGTTCTTTTGATGAGTTTAGATTGTTGTTCTGAAAAGTGTTTGTTTTGGCGAGTTTGAACGTTTTGAGCATGTGTAATGGCATGAATGCGTTAAGCCGTTGTTTTAGTGTGCTTTTGATGAGTTTGGCTTGTTGTTATGAAAAGTGTTTGTTTTGGCTAGTTTGAAGGTTTTTGAGCATGTGTAATGGCATGAATGTGTTGAATTAGTAATCCCTTGTGTTAAGCTGTTGTTTTAGTGTTCTTTTGATGAGTTTGGCTTGTTGTTATGAAAAGTGTTTGTTTTGGCGAGTTTGAACGTTTTTGAGCATGTGTAATGGCATGAATGCGTTAAGCCGTTGTTTCAGTGTTCTTTTGATGAGTTTGGCTTGTTATGAAAAGTGTTTGTTTTGGCGAGTTTGAACGTTTTTGAGCATGTGTAATGGCATGAATGCGTTAAGCTGTTGTTTTAGTGTTCTTTTGATGAGTTTGGCTTGTTGTTATGAACATTGTTTGTTTTGGCGAGTTTGAACGTTTTTGAGCATGTGTAATGGCATGAATGTGTTGAATTAGTAATCCCTTGTGTAAAGCCGTTGTTTTAGTGTTCTTTTGATGAGTTTGGCTTGTTGTTACGAAAAAGTGTTTGTTTTGGCGAGTTTGAACGTTTTTGAGCATGTGTAATGGCATGAATGCGTTAAGCTGTTGTTTTAGTTTTCTTTTGATGAGTTTGGCTTGTTGTTATGAACATTGTTCGTTTTAGCCAGTTTGAAGGTTTTTTAGCAAGTGTAATGGCATGAATGTGTTGAATTAGTAATCCCTTGTGTTAAGCCGTTGTTTTAGTGTTCTTTTGATGAGTTTGGCTTGTTGTTATGAAAAGTGTTTGTTTTGGCGAGTTTGAACGTTTCTGAGCATGTGTAATGGCATGAATGCGTTAAGCCGTTGTTTTAGTGTTCTTTTGATGAGCTTGGCTTGTTGTTCTGAAAAGTGTTTGTTTTGGCGAGTTTGAACGTTTTTGAGCATGTGTAATGGCATGAATGCGTTAAGCCGTTGTTTTAGTGTTCTTTTGATGAGTTTGGCTTGTTGTTATGAAAAGTGTTTGTTTTGGCGAGTTTGAACGTTTTTGAGCATGTGTAATGGCATGAATGCGTTAAGCCGTTGTTTTAGTGTTCTTTTGATGAGTTTAGATTGTTGTTCTGAAAAGTGTTTGTTTTGGCGAGTTTGAACGTTTTGAGCATGTGTAATGGCATGAATGCGTTAAGCCGTTGTTTTAGTGTTCTTTTGATGAGTTTGGCTTGTTGTTATGAAAAGTGTTTGTTTTGGCTAGTTTGAAGGTTTTTGAGCATGTGTAATGGCATGAATGTGTTGAATTAGTAATCCCTTGTGTTAAGCTGTTGTTTTAGTGTTCTTTTGATGAGTTTGGCTTGTTGTTATGAAAAGTGTTTGTTTTGGCGAGTTTGAACGTTTTTGAGCATGTGTAATGGCATGAATGCGTTAAGCCGTTGTTTCAGTGTTCTTTTGATGAGTTTGGCTTGTTGTTATGAAAAGTGTTTGTTTTGGCGAGTTTGAACGTTTTTGAGCATGTGTAATGGCATGAATGCGTTAACCTGTTGTTTTAGTGTTCTTTTGATGAGTTTGGCTTGTTGTTATGAAAAGTGTTTGTTTTGGAGAGTTTGAACGTTTTTGAGCATGTGTAATGGCATGAATGCGTTAAGCCGTTGTTTTAGTGTTCTTTTGATGAGTTTAGATTGTTGTTCTGAAAAGTGTTTGTTTTGGAGAGTTTGAACGTTTTTGAGCATGTGTAATGGCATGAATGCGTTAAGCTGTTGTTTTAGTGTTCTTTTGATGAGTTTGGCTTGTTGTTATGAACATTGTTCGTTTTGGCCAGTTTGAAGGTTTTTGAGCATGTGTAATGGCATGAATGTGTTGAATTAGTAATCCCTTGTGTTAAGCTGTTGTTTTAGTGTTCTTTTGATGAGTTTGGCTTGGTGTTACGAAAAGTGTTTGTTTTGGCGAGTTTGAACGTTTTTGAGCATATGTAATGGCATGAATGCGATAAGCTGTTGTTTTAGTGTTCTTTTGATGAGTTTGGCTTGTTGTTATGAAAAGTGTTTGTTTTGGCGAGTTTGAACGTTTTTGAGCATGTGTGATGGCATGAATGCGTTAAGCTGTTGTTTTAGTGTTCTTTTGATGAGTTTGGCTTGTTGTTATGAACATTGTTCGTTTTGGCCAGTTTGAAGGTTTTTTTGCATGTGTAATGGCATGAATGTGTTGAATTAGTAATCCCTTGTGTTAAGCCGTTGTTTTAGTGTTCTTTTGATGAGTTTGGCTTGTTGTTATGAAAAGTGTTTGTTTTGGCGAGTTTGAACGTTTTTTGAGCATGTGTAATGGCATGAATGCGTTAAGCTGTTGTTTTAGTGTTCTTTTGATGAGTTTGGCTTGTTGTTATGAAAAGTGTTTGTTTTGGCGAGTTTGAACGTTTTTGAGCATGTGTAATGGCATGAATGCGTTAAGCTGTTGTTTTAGTGTTCTTTTGATGAGTTTGGCTTGTTGTTATGAAAAGTGTTTGTTTTGGTGTTTTTGTTTTCCGCCATTTCTCCCGGTTTGACGGCGTCCAGTTGCAGAAAAGAAATAAATCGTGGACAAAGTCTGACTTTGCACTGTGTCCACTGACATTAAACTAATTGTATGTTTGTGTTGTAGTAGTGGGAGGTCTGCAGCAATGCTGTTCAAAGTGCAATACAAAGGAAAGAAGAAGTACATCAAACTAAATGGAGCCTCACACTCTTTTCTTTTTGTAGCCTAAACGATAGGTAGGTTGTGTCATTGGGCAATGAACAGCCATTCCTAACTCGAAGAGATGTACTTGCAGCTGGACACAGTAAGGGTTTTAAAGACATATTTTGCTTTCACTTTAATCATATTTCTTCAGTACCGGAATCAACTCTGGAAACTGATTTCTTTTCTTTTTGACATCATGCTAGTCTACAGTGTGGCCCATTAAGATAGAAAAACTAAAAACTTTATTTCCCACTTTGTCCTGTGTATGTGGTAGTAAGATGAACAATAATGCACCCCAAGCTTCATTTAATTTTTTTTTCTGTATTCAAAGCTAAAATAATGTTCAGTATACCCACTGAAACAGATACATATGTGCTGGATGACACTGGAACAGAGGTCGATGAAGAGGTCTTCAGTGACATTCTGGAGGAAAAAAACCGACATCCTGTGGACCATTGTTGACACTCTTTCGGTCACTGATGGTAAGTGGTCATTTGATCAAATTGTACTTTGCAAGGTTACAGTATTATCATCTAACCATTGAAATGGACTTTACAACACAAAAACTATTGGTTCTCAGCAATATCCTGTTTAAAGGTAATTTTTTTCAATAAGTTAGAATTTGTTTTTCATTGTTTTTAGAACCGATCCATTTACCTATGAAACATGAAACCTATGAAACTGATAAGAACACTGGTCTGAGCACTCAGTTACCAACTGTCATGGACTAAATTGTTTAATATGTGGCCGTATCAACCACAAAAACTGATTGTAGCCAATTACTGGTATTAAAAAACAAAAGCAGATGCACAGTTTTACCATCCCATTCTCTCACCTACTGTTAATTGAAACTGTGGGTCAATAATGAAATCATCAGTAAAACATGTTTTTGAAAATGATATGCTCCCTCTTTTCAGACTCTGCTGCATCTTCATACACAGACATCTTGTCACTATCATCACGCTCATCAGAGAGTGATACTTTTCTGATGTCTCCGAAAAGACACAACATTGATGACATCTTTCTAGACATCTATCTCCAAAAGGACCATGGATTGATGATGGCATTCCAAAGACCCAAAAAAGTCAGCATATTGATAACAGTTCTTCACAGGCCAAAGAGGTGATTTTTTTTTGTACATTCTTTTGCCATGTTATAAATGTGTTTTTGACATCAACATTTTTTGTTTGGCTTATTTTTATTTGTTTTTAAGCTTGTCAAGAGAGTTCTGGAACAAAAGCCTGGAGGGGAGAAAATACTTAAAGAATATACCACAAAAGGACAGATTACGGATCGAACACGCCGTGAACTTGTCAACATTGTTGTCGCTGATATGTTGGAAAAGTATAGGTAAGTCAAAGCTTCATGGTGCACAATTCAGTTGAGTATATTTATAGTATTGGATTGTTCATAAAAAAACAGGTGGTTGTAATCAAATGAGATTATCAGTAAAGGATAACATGCAACATGCATACAAATTAAGTCATTTTTAACAGCTACTCATCATTTGAGTACCATGCCTTCGTTTTTAGCAGCCCACCTATCCTCTGTATAACTGTCTACCGACCTCCCCAGTATTCCACTTATTTTATTCTGGAATTTTCAGAGCTTTTATCAATTATTTATGCCACTTTTAACAGGATTTAATAACTGGTGATGTTAATCTACATGTGGACATCTCCTCAGACCCAATGTCCAGAGAATTTTTAAACCTTTTACACTGCTTTGATTTCAACCAACATGTCACACAGCCGACCCACAGCAGGGGGCGCACCTTGGACTTGGTCATATCTTATGGTCTGTCCAATGGAGCGCCCTCTGTTGTGGACCTGGCTGTGTCTGACCATTTTTGTGTCTTTTTTACAATCACCAGTTTTAATCAGAGGGAGGCCCCAGTGAGAACAGTGAGGAAACATTACCTAACTTCTGAAGTGGCTGCAAATTTTATCCAGATCTTACAGAGAACTCCAGACAACATTTTACCAGCACCCTGCAATTTTATCACTGACAACCTGAACAACAAAATGAAGTCAGCACTGGACTCAGTGGCTCCACTTTTTATAAAAACAATTAAATCAAAACCTACATCCCTGTGGAGAACTGAAGACATAAAAAATTGAAAAGGGAATGCAGGAGTGCTGGAAGGAGATGGAGGAAATCAAAGCTGACAGTGGATTATGAAATATTACACTGACTTCTTAAAATTTACAATAACGCAATCAAACAAGCAAGAATCTCCCATTTCCAAAATGTAATCCATAACCATAAAAATAATCCCAAATTCCTGCTCTCCACAATAGATCTTTTAACAAACAAAAATTTTAAAAGATCCTCCATAACACCAGATAATGCCCTTTGTGAGGATTTTGTAGACCACTTCAGAAGAAAAATAAATGACATTCGATCCAGTCTTTTATCCCGACAGCTTTTAACACCTGGATCACCGAGTTTACCCGAGGAAGCACTGGAAAGGTTTTGCCCTGGTTGATGTGAGGACACTTGGTTGAGTTTTCTCCCAGGTAAAGCCCACAACCTGCCTTTTAGACCCAATACCCACACTGATTTTTAAAAAACTCTATGGATTCTTCGAGGAACAGCTGTTGTATTTGGTGAACTGCTCTCTTCAGACGGGTGTCTTCCCCACCGCCTTAAATGATGGTGATGCCCCTTCTGAAGAAGAGTGATTTGGATCCCAATGTTTTAAATAACTACCGGCCTGTATTCAACCTACCATTTTTAGGTAAAGTTCTGGAAAAACTCGTTTTGATTTTTAAATGATTTTTTAAACTCAAAACATATTTTAGAGACCCATCAGTCTGGCTTTAGGAGGAACCACAGCACAGAGACAGCACTTTTTAAATGACATCAGATGTGACTTAGATAACCACGAACTCACAGTGTTGGTTCTGCTGGATCTAACAGCCGCCTTCGATACAGTAGACCATCACATTTTATTAAATAGACTGCGGAATGTGGTTGGCCTCTCTGGTACTGTTCTTAAGTGGTTCACGTCCTACCTGACTGATTGAAATTTCTTTATAAGTATGGATACATGTTCCTCAAGGACCCATAAAATAGGTGTGGGGTTCCCCAAGGGTCAATTCTAGGTCCAACTCTGTTCAACCTCTACATTTTACCCCTTGGGGATGTCATCAGGAGGCACGGCATGAGCTTCCATAGCTATGCTGATGATACGCAACTGTACATCGCCGTGTCTCCTGATGACACAGGGCCAATTGATGCCCTTTTTAATTGCATTTTAGACATTAAATCATGGATGGCAGCAAATTTCCTGCAGCTCAACCAGGACAAAACAGAGGTTTTAGTCATTGGTCCTGAAGGCCAGAGAGACAAACTTTTACCAAAGTTACAGGATTTTAAACCTTCAAAATCTGTAAAAAATCTGGGCGTGATTTTTGACTCCGAGCATACGTTTATTCCACATATCATAAACATAACAAAGATAGGTTTCTACCATCTTAAGAATATAGCAAGAGTCCGCCCGTTTCTCTCTCAGGCCAGCACGGAGGTGCTGATGCATGCCTTTATCTCGTGTCATTTGGATTATTGTAATGCCCTGCTCTCTGGTCTTCCCAAAAAGAACAAAGAAGAAAGAAATAAGAAATAAAGAAATAAAGAAATAACTACGGTTATTACAAAACTCAGCCGCACGTGTGCTGACGAGGACCAGAGGGCGTGAGCACATTACTCCTGTCTTAAAATCGCTGCATTGGCTCCCCGTGCATTTGAGGATCGATTTTAAGGTTCTCCTCCTAATTTTTAAATGTCTTAATGGTCTTGGGCCGTTTTATTTATCCGAGATACTTTTACCTTATCAACCCTCACAGACCCTGAGGTCCTCTGGAGCTGGTCTCTTAAAAATCCCACAAGTAAAAACTAAGACATACGGGGCAGCATCATTCAGTTATTATGGCCCCCGTTTGTGGAACAGCCTCCCAGAGAGCCTCAGGGCTGCAGAGAATGTTGATATTTTTAAAAGGAGGCTAAAGACTCATCTTTTTAATCAGGCTTTTAACTGACTAGTTTAACTCTTTTAATCCCTTTTATGCTCACTTTTATTGTTGCACTATCTAACACTTTTTATTACCGTTCTATTTTATACTTCAATCTATCAATATTATTATTATTATTTTTAGTCTGGCGTGTTTTACAGTGCACAGAATCATTTTATCTTACATTATTTACTGGGTCTGTCTTAGCGATTACAGTTTTATTCCTTCAGTTTTAGTTTCTATACTTTTATGTCTTATTTTATTCTTTTAGTCCCTCAGTTTTCCCAGTGTTTCCTCCTGGGGGCTGCTTCACCGGGAGCGGGTTCTGGTCTGTTGGTGGGGGCGCCGTTCTGGGGACAGCTCTGGCCCGGGTGGAACCAGAGAGTTTTACACCTTGGTGCGGAGCCTTCTGTCTGCCCGGGCTAGTGGTCCCTGTGACGGCGCCCCCTGCAGCAATGGGCCGGGATGCCTCCCGGTCGACGTGGCCCCCAAAGGTAGCCTCTTCCTCACCTCAGATCTTAGTGCCCAGTCATGTCTCCTCACCATCAGCTGCTAACTGTGTAGGTGCGTGTGTATGTAAATTTGTGTGTGTGTGGGAATGTATGTCTATGTGCACAGGTGTGTGTGTGTGGCAGTGGCGGCTGCTGGTCTTTCAAGGAGGGGAAGCTCATTTTTTTGGCCTACATCATAATTGTGTTTGTTTATTTGTATGTAACAGAACAGAGTCGCCAAACACAACGGCAGTCGTTTTTAACAAAGACAAAAGTCGCTGAGGATCGGTAAAGTCTCTGGAGCAGTTAAGAACAACGGAATGAATAACTTGGAAAATGCTTTGGTAGATGTTTTATTCTTCAAGATCGCTGATTCGCTTGTTTAGCTGTCAATCAAAAAAGGATTTCGCCTCAGACAGCTCATCCAATCATGGATGCAGAAGCTCGGAGTCCGGGAGAAAGTTGGGACCGCCCTCTCGCCATAGAACTCCAGAGACGCCGATTGCCGATGGGCGGGACAAAGCCTAGCATTTATCCAATGAGCGTCTAGTTTCGCTGCTGGAACAACCCACTTTGAGCTTCCACATTGAAGTCAGCAGAAGCCGAGCGTCCGGCTGTTTAAAGCGCTGAGGCGCTGCGAGGATGAATGAGAACGTAGTTGTGCAGAATCAGCTTCTTATCACACTGTGATAAGAAGCTGATTCTGAACAAAAGATGAAGCCTTTCTAGCGCGTATTTAGTTAAAAAAATGTACACACAGCAGTACGTATTTCACCACTTTTTCTTTTTTTGGGGGGGTGAAATTTTAAGGGAAGCTGAGCTTCCCTTGCAGTCTTAGAGCAATTGCCACTGGTGTATGGGTATAATTGTGCGGGTGGGAGGTTTGGGGTTTTCTTGGGGATTTTAATGTTTCATTTTCTTTTTATGCTTTGTAAGGCACTTTTTATTACAACTTTGTAGGAAAAGTGCCATATAAATGAAATAAAGTTGAAGTTGAAGTTGAAGTTGACAACAATGGCCAGTAAACTGTTGCCTTGCACCATATGGCTAAGTAATGCCATGAAAATATCAATATTCTAATCTAAACTAAACATTACCCATCTGCAAGACACACACAGCCATGCAACTTGTATATTGTTTAGTAGTTTATTTGAGTTGATATGTCTAGGGTCCCCATTGTAAATTGCCATACAGCCTTTTTCCCTGTCAATGCAACCTATCGTTTACTCCAACAGCAGAGCTCCGCCAAAGGACAAAAGAACACAATATGCATTGGGGATTGTGACACTGTGACACTACTCGAAAATTGGCTATGTGAGTATATATTTTAAAGAGAAGTTAACCAACCTTTTTCAAATTATGATAATAAAAATATTGTTGCTTTATAGGAGCAATAGAGACAGGTTTTTCTTGTAGAGGCAGCAAGGGGGGCAATTAACATTCTTGAAAATGGCATTCAATTCAGTACTGTGTTAAGCACAATATTTTGTTTGTAAAGTTTGTTAATAAATGAATAATGTTTTAATGCATTTTCCATCTTATAGTTCCTTTCACTATGGGCTCTATTTTGGTGCCTCGCCGGAGATCTGCCGCAAGCGCAGCGTCAATCAGATCCGCCGCGCTGACAAGGCGTTCTCAAGCACATTTTGGTATTTTGGTGAGCCGCGCAGCCCGGCGTAAGTATCCCCCCTCCCTAACTCAGCTCCTCCCAGCAGCATAAGTCGTAGACGGGGAGGAGAGAGGGCGTGTAGTAGATTTAACACAGCCGAGACCTGTTTTCACCAATCACATAAGCTCCTCTCCTTGCCTTTAAATCCGCCACCGGCGAGGTGTATCACTATTTTCATGAAGTAGTCAAAGAGATCGAGAGATGTCTGAAGACAGTTATGCCACACGATGGCGACAGAGGGCAGCTGCTCAAAAAGTGTCCTCCACACTCTCTCATCTGAGCACAGATGGATTTGGTGTGTGTAATGTTGGACCCACTGGTAAGACAAACACCCTTTTCCACAAATAAAGACACTCACATAAAGTTGCATATATTCACCTCACGTGACAAAGGTGGGTTTAGCGCACAGATCACAACATAAACTCCAAAAATGGCGTTAAAATCGGAACCATCTGTGCGTAAATGACGCATCGCGCTCCGTGGCCTGGCTCTTTCTTTCATAGATGTTGGCATATAAAATAAATTTGGCCCACAAAACTGAATATTATAATATCCGTATGTCGGCTTAAAGTAGATAACGCATCTGAGCACTGAAACAAATCATCTGTTCAGCCGCAGCAGCAAGCAAGACGGACAGAGGACACGGAGACGTGTCCAGGTCGAGCTGTGCGAGAAATAAGAGGAAGAAAGAAAAGGGGGGAGACACATTACATATCTTGTTAACTTCATCATGTGTGTTTATTTACTAGATATTTAATTTAATTTGATGCAGTTTCAGCTGTATTGATTCGGTCAGGTTGTGTGCCCAAACGCGTGCCAAACGCGCTCATCAGATCAGATATAGATCAGAATATATCGATATAGATCTAAATGTATGTGCTGACTCAGATTAATAGTTGTTGATGATTATTTATTGCACTGAAATCTGCCTGACACTGTGGAAACCTGCCGGTGAGGCATCAGTGACGTATGTCGATACGCCGCCGGTCTACCAAAATACTACTAGACCAGCTGCGTTCCGCCTTGCGCTGAAAGCTGACCAGGTTTGAATCGGCGAGCTTTCAGCCCACGTTACACGCCGGTGGCGAGCACGAAAATGTCACTGCGCCAGCTGATTCTGTCAACACCTCCCCCTGCCATGCCACCACGCCCAGCTTGGCGGATCTCGGCTCGCCTCCGTGCGACTCAGTCCACGAAAATACCAAACTCGCCTTACGCCGGGCTCCGCCAGACGAAAACACAACTGCGTGGGGCTCGCCGCCCTCCGCCGCATCACCGGCGCGAACGAAAATAGAGCCCTATGTGTCTAATCATGCTTAAATTTCTTAATTTTTTTTTCAACATTGTTTTTAGGAGCATTTCTATGATGCAGATAACAACGAGGGCTACATTGCCTGGAAGCTCAAAAACACACAGCAAGAACTCAGCGGCAGCAGTAACAGTGGAGTTCGGAGAAGGAGGTCTCAAACTTCAGACAGCAGTGGACCGGAGTTGGAGAGGGAAGTAACTAAAGAGCAACAGCTGGAGGGAGACCAGTGCTGTGAGGCCATATCTCTACTGAAACACAACACCGACAATACAGAACATATCTTCACAAAAATGAGAGCAACTTTCCAACACAGACAAAAGTTGATCCATGATCCTGAGCGATGCAGCACAGTGCTTACAGTTTTCCCAAGGTTCCTTGACACGAAAGGCCTTGCAAGTTCATGTGAATTATGTTAATGTTTTTTTTCCCATCAATAACAGCTTTGTAAAGATTAAAATAGTAACTTCCTTCCATTGCCACCATCATCAAGTACACCTGCACTTGCTTCTTCTCCTTTAGGCTCTACAAGACTTTGAGCTGTTGTTTGGAGCAGAGACTTCATCAAAATTCTTGGAGAAGTGGGGAACACTCCTGAAGTAATCAAGCAAGCCAAAAACCTCAGTAAAACACCCCCTTAGCTTCACTATCTCATTCAGTCGGCAGACGAGAACCCTGATGAGGATGACGAGGTCCCAGGTAAGTGGCATAAATGAATTCCCTGTGTATATCTGCCCACCATTTCAGATGTTGTCTTATTGTATTTACTGTGATGTGGTTGTGCTAATAGCACTTTCATTGACAAGAGCCTTATGAATGTTTATATTGATTTGTCAGGCACATCTCATGCTGAAATTAGAGTTTCTCCTCCCCTCTTCTCAGATTGGGATAGTGACATGGTCTCAATCCTCCTGCTGGTCTACCTCCTGCCACCAAGTGGAAAGAAGGGAGCCGTGAAGATTAGTATCCGGGAAGCTGTGGATCGTGTAGTGACGTTTCATAAGGTTAGTGTATCCTGATTTCCATTTTGAAACAATCCAATATCAACAAGTGGAATCCACACTCCAAAAACAAATGAATGTTTTGACCAATCATCATTTCTCTTAATACAAAGGGACTTTCCCAAGTAGATTTTCTCACAGGGAGAGAGAGTCACGAGATGGGGTAGCATGACAACATACTGGATAAAGTAAATTTCAGTCAGCAAATATCTGGATCCAAGAATATAGTTAAGAGGGTTTACTTAATCTGTTGGCAATAAATATAAACACATTTTTATAATTGCGGTACTTTATAAATAGCAATACATATAAACAAATTTTTATCATATAAATAGCAATTAACAAATTCATTTACATCTTTAATTAAAATTTTGAATTATTCTTTTTTCTTTTGAAGTGATTCTCCAACTGTGCTATCAGATTTCTGTCTGACTTATCCATAAAAAAATGACGTATAGCATAGTTATACTTTTGATTGTTATCTTGCAGGCGGGTCACAGCCTTCAGGAGCACTCTGGTCCAGCCCAGCGGAGGCAACCCTACATCCTGGCAGTTGGCATGACAAGAAACAACATCCATGAATACTACATTGCGATGGATGGTGAGCTCCTTCCCTGCAAGGCCAAGTCTTCCCTGTCAGCCTTTGATGAACTTTTCAAGACACATTATGTGTTTGGTATCTCCTATGACCAGGCCCTAAACAGCATGTTCATGTTTGTGAACTCCCAGAGTCAAGGACCTTAGGGCAAAGCTCCTCAACTGAAGTTGTGATGTACAAATGCTTTGTTTGCCAGTCTACTTTTGTCACCATCCAGCAGTTGCTTCGTCATCTCAAACTTACACATGCCTTTTTTCCCGGCAAGAAGTTTCATTTGTTGTGTGGCCAGAATGAATGCCGTCAGAGATTTTGCACTTTTTCAGGCTTCAGGAAACATCTCCATTCTAAGCATAGTCCTGAAAGTCTAGTTCAAATTGATAATGAATCTGTCACTCCTTCAGTTATCGTATCTGATCAGCAAGCAATGAGGCTACTGAAGGTAGTGTGGAAGAAGAACCATCTACCAGACAGTTTCCTCTTTGCCGAGGGGTGCTTCATCCCGAAGCAGGAGGACTCATCCAGCATCAAAGATTTCCGCACAATTTCACTGTTGAATGTGGAAGGAAAGGTGTTTTTTGGAATCATAGCAAGGAGGCTGACCCAGTTCCTGATTAACAACAAGTATATTGACACCTCTGTACAAAAAGGCGGAATACCAGGAGTCCCCGGGTGCATTGAGCACAACAGCGTCATCTCTAAGATTATCGAGGACGCAAAGAGGAACCAGGGAGACCTAGCAGTCTTGTGGCTTGACCTAACCAATGCTTATGGCACAATACCACACAAGTTAGTGGACCACACACTCAAAGCCTACCACATCCCCCAGAAGGTACAGCTGCTTCTCGGGAGGTACTTTGGGGACTTCAAGATGCGCTTCACCTCTGGCAGCTTCACCACAAGCTGGCAGAGGCTGGAAGTTGGGATTGTGACCGGATGCACGATCTCTGTGATCCTCTTTGCAGCTGCAATGAACCTCATAGTCAAGTCAGTGGAGAAGCCAAGACGAGGAGCGGTACTTTCAAGTGGCGTCCAACAGGTCCCAGTCAGGGCCTTCATGGACGACTTGACAATTACAGCGAGGTCAGTCCCGGAGGGCAGATGGATTTTGGAAGATCTGGTCGGGCTCACTAAGGCAGTGAGAATGGAGTTCAAACCATCAAAATCAAGAAGCCTGGTGCTGAAGCGAGGTCGTGTCCAAGACCGCTTCCGGTTCAAGATCGGCGAAGACATCATCCCGACTGTCACAGAGAGGCCAGTAAAAAGCTTAGGACGTTGGTACAGAGCCGACCTGAACGACAAAGAAAGCATTAAGGAGATGCTCAACCAAGCAGAAGAGTGGCTAAAGGCCCTAGAGAGGAGTGGCCTGCCCGGCAAATACAAGGCCTGGGGCTATCAACACGGCATCCTCCCAAGGCTCCTGTGGCCACTGCTCGTGTACGAGGTTCCCTTGACAACAGTGGAAGCTTTGGAAAGGAAAATTAACAACTTCCTCAGGAGGTGGCTCTCCGTCCCCAAAGCGTTTTGCTCCATCGGCCTCTACAGCACCGGAAGCAAGCTGCAGTTGCCAATCACATCAGTTGTGGAGGAGTTCAAGACAGCTAAAGTCCGGTTGGCCATGATGTTGCGAGACAGCAACGATCAGGCTGTGCGGCAGGCAAACATCACGGTCAAGACAGGACGGAAATGGCAGGCCAGCGGAGCCCTGAGGGAAGCGGAGGAGCGCCTACAACATGCAGACGTCGTGGGCACGGTGACCCAGGGGAGGCTGGGTCTCGGTGTCATCACCCGAGCAAGCTGGAAGGAGGCAAAGGTGAAGGAACGGAGAGGGATGGTGCAGAAGGAGATTCGGGCAGTGGAGGAAGAGGATAGACAAGCCAAGGCAGTAGCCATGAGACAGCAGGGCAGATGGACCCGGTGGGACGGTGTCCGGGGAAGATCGCTCGGTTGGAAGGACATCTGGAGTATGGAGGGGCACCGGATAAAGTTCCTCCTGAGCTCTGTCTACGATGTACTCCCAACACCAACAAACCTCCAAAGATGGAGATTGTCAGAGGATCCCTTCTGTGCGCAGTGCAAGAGACCAGCAAACCTGGAGCACATCCTGTCATCCTGCCGAGCAGGCCTGACTGAGGGGAGGTTCAGGTGGCGCCATGATCAGGTGCTGGCGCAACTCGCCGATGGTCTGGAAAAGGAGAGGAAGCGAAAAGGAACAAAGGCCCAAGACAAAGGCCCCCGCTTCATCAGTTTTCTCAGGCCTGGCGAGAAGGCAGGCAAGGAGGACAGATGTGCAGGGATCCTTGGTACGGCAAAGGACTGGGAGATGAGAGTTGACCTGGGAAGGAAACTCAAATTCCCAGAGGAGATCGCCGTCACCAGCCTCCGACCGGATATCGTGCTCTGGTCTCAGATAACAAAGCAGGTGGCCCTAATTGAGTTAACGGTACCCTGGGAGGAAAGGATCGAGGAGGCACACGAGCGTAAGCTGGGGAAATACCAGGATCTCATTTCCGAGAGCCAGCAGAGGGGGTGGAGAGCCTGGAATCTACCAGTCGAGGTTGGCTGCAGGGGCTTCCCTGGACAGTCACTTTGGAGAACACTGGGGATGCTCGGCCTCACAGGGGCAACCCGTAAGAACCTGGTGAACAACATCTCAAAGCAGGCAGAGTCAGCATCCAGATGGCTGTGGCTAAAGAGGAACGATCAGTGGCTGAACCAGGCTGGCAGAGAGGGGTGTCAGAGCTGAGTGGGGAAGACCTGTGTGGCTGAGGGGACAGCTCCAGGACGCTGGTGCTGTCGTCAAGCCCCACCGTGGTGTCGTGGGCTAGTTGACGAAACACCAGGAAAACGGGGGGTGCCCATTTGAAAACCCGGTGAAGCCTCGAGGTCTGAAGCATACAGCTCTGACACCAGTTGTGTTATGTTAGGAGGGAGTGACTTCTATGCTAGCCACCACACATAAGGAACAGGAGGTAACTCCTGCTAAGGGTGGTGGCTGCGATACCTATCGTTTTAAAGACTTTCTACATCTGTTGACCCAGTGACTACTAGGAAAGTCTAGTTGGCAACCACGGAAGAGTGGTGACAGCAGGGAGAGACTGCTGGCATCTGGGGAAGACCAGAACCGGGGTGCCAAGGCTTGGCAAGCCGAAGCACTTCCTCCGTGAGGAGGAACCCATCTTAAGTCGCTATGGAAAAGTTTCTGATAAAATACCCCCAAGGTCGTGCGAGAGCGGGGGAGGATGAGCGACCTACAGGACAGACAACTGTTATGACCACGGATGACGATCAAAGGATATTGGCTCAGGACAACGGAATAACTAGAGTTTGTAGATGTGGAAAGGTCTGCAAAGGCGATAGGGGTCTGAAGATACATCAGAGTAAGAAGGGCTGCTTACGACACAGTAGTGTGCAACGCACAGGGCAACCTTATGAGACGGAGGAGAGGCAGGGTCAGGTGGCTAACCATAGTACCCAGAATCTCCAGGCACATAATGAAGTCAGCAGTGACCCTCCAAACAACAATGTATCTGACACCCTACAACAAGAGAGACAAGCCAGCCAGGAGACAGCTCAGCGAGTGCAGGACAACAGAGGAGGAGAGACGAGGATTAAGCCAGTGAAGTGGCCATCAGCAGCAGCCAGGAAAGATTGGGAGTCATTTGACAGAGAAGTGGATCAAATCCTGGAATCTGTCCTCATCGGCGACATCGGCAGGAAGATGAAAACGATGTCCACTATCATCTGGAGCATGGGAGCAGAGCGCTTTGGGACGGAGCAGAGACAGAACAGAAGTGTGCAGCATGCTGGAGAGAACAGACGCACAAGGGAGATCGCAAACCTCAGAGGCGACTTACGGAGACTGAAGAAGGCTTTTCTGCAGGCGGCAGAAGATGAAAAACCTGCCCTGAAAGAGATGCGAGATACCTTGAGGGAGCGCGTAAAGACTTTGCGCCGAGCCGAGTGCCGACGAAGGGACAGAAGGAGACGGGAAAAGGAGAGGGTTAAATTCACCAAAAACCCCTTCAAGTACCTTTCCGGGCTCCTGGGAGTCAAAAGATCAGGAGAGCTAAATGCCTCAAAGGAAGAGGTAGAAGACCACCTTCGCAAAGTACACAGTGACCCAAGGCGTGACAAAGAACTCGACCTGGAAGGGAAACTGCGCTGCCAAGAGGAACCAACCAGCCCCTTTGATGATCGAGAGCTCAGATGGCAGGAGGTCAACGACTTCATCCGAAAGGCCAGGGGAAGATCTGCACCGGGGCCAAACGGGATTTCGTACAGAGTCTATAAGAACTGTGAGCAGCTGAGGAGACGTCTGTGGAGGCTACTGAAGGTAGTGTGGAAGAAGAACCATCTACCAGACAGTTTCCTCTTTGCCGAGGGGTGCTTCATCCCGAAGCAGGAGGACTCATCCAGCATCAAAGATTTCCGCACAATTTCACTGTTGAATGTGGAAGGAAAGGTGTTTTTTGGAATCATAGCAAGGAGGCTGACCCAGTTCCTGATTAACAACAAGTATATTGACACCTCTGTACAAAAAGGCGGAATACCAGGAGTCCCCGGGTGCATTGAGCACAACAGCGTCATCTCTAAGATTATTGAGGACGCAAAGAGGAACCAGGGAGACCTAGCAGTCTTGTGGCTTGACCTAACCAATGCTTATGGCACAATACCACACAAGTTAGTGGACCACACACTCAAAGCCTACCACATCCCCCAGAAGGTACAGCTGCTTCTCGGGAGGTACTTTGGGGACTTCAAGATGCGCTTCACCTCTGGCAGCTTCACCACAAGCTGGCAGAGGCTGGAAGTTGGGATTGTGACCGGATGCACGATCTCTGTGATCCTCTTTGCAGCTGCAATGAACCTCATAGTCAAGTCAGTGGAGAAGCCAAGACGAGGAGCGGTACTTTCAAGTGGCGTCCAACAGGTCCCAGTCAGGGCCTTCATGGACGACTTGACAATTACAGCGAGGTCAGTCCCGGAGGGCAGATGGATTTTGGAAGATCTGGTCGGGCTCACTAAGGCAGTGAGAATGGAGTTCAAACCATCAAAATCAAGAAGCCTGGTGCTGAAGCGAGGTCGTGTCCAAGACCGCTTCCGGTTCAAGATCGGCGAAGACATCATCCCGACTGTCACAGAGAGGCCAGTAAAAAGCTTAGGACGTTGGTACAGAGCCGACCTGAACGACAAAGAAAGCATTAAGGAGATGCTCAACCAAGCAGAAGAGTGGCTAAAGGCCCTAGAGAGGAGTGGCCTGCCCGGCAAATACAAGGCCTGGGGCTATCAACACGGCATCCTCCCAAGGCTCCTGTGGCCACTGCTCGTGTACGAGTTTCCCTTGACAACAGTGGAAGCTTTGGAAAGGAAAATTAACAACTTCCTCAGGAGGTGGCTCTCCGTCCCCAAAGCGTTTTGCTCCATCGGCCTCTACAGCACCGGAAGCAAGCTGCAGTTGCCAATCACATCAGTTGTGGAGGAGTTCAAGACAGCTAAAATCCGGTTGGCCATGATGTTGCGAGACAGCAACGATCAGGCTGTGCGGCAGGCAAACATCACGGTCAAGACAGGACGGAAATGGCAGGCCAGCGGAGCCCTGAGGGAAGCGGAGGAGTGCCTACAACATGCAGACGTCGTGGGCACGGTGACCCAGGGGAGGCTGGGTCTCGGTGTCATCACCCGAGCAAGCTGGAAGGAGGCAAAGGTGAAGGAACGGAGAGGGATGGTGCAGAAGGAGATTCGGGCAGTGGAGGAAGAGGATAGACAAGCCAAGGCAGTAGCCATGAGACAGCAGGGCAGATGGACCCGGTGGGACGGTGTCCGGGGAAGATCGCTCGGTTGGAAGGACATCTGGAGTATGGAGGGGCACCGGATAAAGTTCCTCCTGAGCTCTGTCTACGATGTACTCCCAACACCAACAAACCTCCAAAGATGGAGATTGTCAGAGGATCCCTTCTGTGCGCAGTGCAAGAGACCAGCAAACCTGGAGCACATCCTGTCGTCCTGCCGAGCAGGCCTGACTGAGGGGAGGTTCAGGTGGCGCCATGATCAGGTGCTGGCGCAACTCGCCGATGGTCTGGAAAAGGAGAGGAAGCGAAAAGGAACAAAGGCCCAAGACAAAGGCCCCCGCTTCATCAGTTTTCTCAGGCCTGGCGAGAAGGCAGGCAAGGAGGACAGATGTGCAGGGATCCTTGGTACGGCAAAGGACTGGGAGATGAGAGTTGACCTGGGAAGGAAACTCAAATTCCCAGAGGAGATCGCCGTCACCAGCCTCCGACCGGATATCGTGCTCTGGTCTCAGATAACAAAGCAGGTGGCCCTAATTGAGTTAACGGTACCCTGGGAGGAAAGGATCGAGGAGGCACACGAGCGTAAGCTGGGGAAATACCAGGATCTCATTTCCGAGAGCCAGCAGAGGGGGTGGAGAGCCTGGAATCTACCAGTCGAGGTTGGCTGCAGGGGCTTCCCTGGACAGTCACTTTGGAGAACACTGGGGATGCTCGGCCTCACAGGGGCAACCCGTAAGAACCTGGTGAACAACATCTCAAAGCAGGCAGAGTCAGCATCCAGATGGCTGTGGCTAAAGAGGAACGATCAGTGGCTGAACCAGGCTGGCAGAGAGGGGTGTCAGAGCTGAGTGGGGAAGACCTGTGTGGCTGAGGGGACAGCTCCAGGACGCTGGTGCTGTCGTCAAGCCCCACCGTGGTGTCGTGGGCTAGTTGACGAAACACCAGGAAAACGGGGGGTGCCCATTTGAAAACCCGGTGAAGCCTCGAGGTCTGAAGCATACAGCTCTGACACCAGTTGTGTTATGTTAGGAGGGAGCGACTTCTATGCTAGCCACCACACATAAGGAACAGGAGGTAACTCCTGCTAAGGGTGGTGGCTGCGATACCTATTGTTTTAAAGACTGTCAGCTTTAATTTCAGAGCAACCAGTGAATTCTCAAAGCTGTAATGAGACTAGGCAACAACATACCCAAGAAATGTGTGCATCCCTTATTGCAAAACTCCAAAGCTCTGGTATGGCTACTAATGTCATAACGACTGTTGTTGAAAATATGGAGGAGCTAGTAGAGGAACTGCATTCAAATGTTAAAGATGATGTTGTAAAATTACTCCCCAATGTTGAGGACATTAGAACAAAAGTTGATGATTATTTCGAAAGCCTTGACAATCCATTTAGCAAACTGAACACTGAGACAAAATGGAAAAAAACATTTCAGTGAGAAATGGGGTCTTGTAGAACCTGTTGAGGTCGCTCTAGGGGTGAGGTATGACACCAGAAGGAATCGAACCACTGGCACATACAATCAGGATCCTGTGACAGACAAATTTGTGTACATTCCTCTATTGGAAACGCTGAAGTTTATATTCAACAACAGGGAGATTTTAAATCATATTTTGCAGCCTTGTGAGAAGACTGGGTTTTATAAAGATTTCTGTGATGGAAGCTATTTTAAAGGTCACTCTCTCTTCTCTAAAAAACCAAACTCTCTCCAAATACAGATATTCTATGATGATTTTGAAGTTGCAAATCCACTAGGATCCAAACATGGTATCCATAAGATTGGAAGTATATACTTTATTTTACGAAATCTGTCTCCAAAGATAAACTCAGCGCTTACGAACATTCATCTTTTGGCACTTTTTCATACAGAGGATGTAAAGAAGTATGGATTTAATGTTATCTTACGAACCCCTCGTACAAGATCTGAAAGTGCTTGAGTGTACAGGAGTTGAAGTTCCTTTCTCTGAGGAAGCAGTTTGTGGAACAATTGCACAGGTGACTGGGGACTGGGGATTGCACTCACTACTTGGGTATGTATAATCATTCAGTTCAAACTATTTTTGCCGCTTTTGTCTGGTAGACAAACAAACCTTACAGACAGTTTTCAGTGATGATGATCCAAGAATAACACTCCGCAATAAAGTACTGCATGCTCAGCATTGCAATGACTTAAAAGCAGATCCTACACTGCCATCAACATTTGGAGTGAAGCGAACATGTTTACTCACTACAGTACTTTGATGTTTCTGATAACTATGCTCTAGACATTATGCATGACATATTGGAAGGAGTTGGGCAGTTTGAGCTAAAGTTGCTTTTTGGTTGCCTGTACAAGAAGGAAATGCACATTGGAGACTCTTGCTGCTTCTGCTGCAAATCATGAACATCATATTTTCTCCCGTCATTACTGATGGTATGACAGTATGTCTGAAGCATCTCATTCTTGACCATCATAAACTTTTCAAAGAGCTTTATTCACATCACAAATTGATTCCTTAACATCACTTCATGATTCATTGCCCCAGATCCTTTTGAAAAATAGGTACAATTCTTCATGTTTGGGCAATGAGGTTCGAAGCCAAACACAGGTTTTTCAAGAACACAATCAAAAATTTCAGTCATTAGCTAAAAAACATCAGATGGCTGTGGCATACCACTGGGAATCAAGGCCATTTAAAAGTATTAACTGTGGTCCAGTAAAAACTGTTCAGCTTAATGCCTTGGCAAATGGTGAAATAATTGCTGAAGAACAGCAGGTTGACTTGGACTGTGAAGTTGATGTGACATCTTGGATCACTTGTTTTGGGACAGAGTATCGCCCAGGCCTTCTGGTTTGTTCAAACATAGAGGAGGATTTCCCAGTATTAAGTCAGATAAAAGACATTATTGCATTTAATGGAGACTATTTTCTTGTAGCAGAAGATTTTGAGACACTTAGTTTTGTAGAGCATTTTCATTCTTTTCATGTCAGACAGGGAAATCCTGAAAATGTATCCATGCTGAAAGTTGATGAGTTGCTCCTGTTTAAGCCATTTGATCTGCAGACAACGTATGGTTTTGACAGAAATGATCAGTATGTGGTGCCTGTGCATGTTTTTGTATAAGAAATGTGTCACTGAAGTGGTAACATGCTTTTTTTCATCTTGGCAATTATTTTTGCAAAAAGGTCCAGGTTTTTTTTTGCACCATGGCTCCATAACTTAAGACATGTTCATGTCCTTCTAACGAGTTGACTGTTAACTTTAATAACATTAAGACAAGATACTTGTTAGAATCTGTGTTAATAATTATCATAGCAATAATAATAAAGATGTTATATTGTCAAGAAACTCTTGTGTGGACTATATATTCCTGAAGTGTTTAATAATTAACCTCAAAAGTGTTGGGTGTACACCAGTCATAGAGTATATTCTCACTCTCAGAGTGTTAAATAATCAGAGTTTATATAAAGAGTTTATCTTTTACTCTCTGGGAGTTCTAGATTTACACTGCAAGTGTCAAAAAGCACCAATTGACAGAGTACAATTGTACACTCAGAGGGTTCAAGTCTAACTCTTTATTTTGAGTATATATTTTACACTGTTGTCGGTGTTCAGTGAACACCGAACTCTTGGACCTATATATACACCGAAACTGGAGTTAAATGTACACTTATAGAGTACAATATACACTGTGAATTTTGCTGTGTATGTCATGGCAATAAAAAATATGAGGCATGTATGAGATATTAATTTATCATCATAAGCAACTTATTGACTAATGATTTATTTAAACTTCAGCCACTGTCCACTATTCCGCGGCAGCGCTGTTCACCGCCACCATAATCCTGCTCCAAACAGGAGTTTTCTGGACTGCTTTTAGACCAGTTTTGATGCTTCCAAAGAGCAAATCCTTGTTAGTTTCCACCACAGATGTGAGGATATCCACTTTCAGCTCGAAAAAGTTTCACATCTTTCTAATATTTCTCCTCTTTCATGTTTGACCTCAGTGGGCGAGGTTTTTGAACCACGAATATTTAAGGGCGTAAACATGTTAATGACAATCGATTTCAGCCGCCGCATTTATCAAGACCCGATCATACGTACGCTGAGATTGGTCAGATACGAACCCTTTTATAAATCTCACGCGTGTCCTATCGTACAATGAATCCTGCGCTCAGATCTTGCGCAAGCTTGATAAATGAGGACCATTGTCTTTGGACCAAATGGCAGCTGCTCCACCCTTAGCCCTTTGCTAAAGACTGTTAAAAATTTGGGGGTTTGTAATGGACAGAGATTTTAAAATGGATCTACAGATAAATGCAGTTGTAAAAGCTGGTTTTTATCATCTTCGTCTTTTAACAAGGTCAAGTCTTTTTAATCTTTTAGTGATTTTGAGAAGGTTACGCATGCTTTTATCACAACTCCTGATTATTGCAATGCACTTTATTTTGGTGCCAGCCAAACCTCTCTTTATCGTTTACAGCTCCTTCAAAATGCAGCAGCTCGTGTTTTATCTGGCCGCTGTAAATATGACCACATTTCCCCTATTTGAGGCCTCTCTACACTGTATTCCTGTGTGTTTTAGGATAGATTTTAAAATTTTGTTATTAACTTATAAATCTTTAAACAGGCTTGCTCCTTTTTACCTCTCTGACCTTTTAAAACCCTATACTTCATCTCGGACTCTCAGATCAGTGCCTTCTGACTATCCCTAGGTCAAGATTAAAGTTCAGGGGTGACCAGGCTTTTTCCATTGCTGCGCCTAAGCTCTGGAATGCTCTCCTTCTTCATGTCCATCTGTCCCTCTCATTGCCAGTTTTTAAATCAAATTTGAAAACCCATATTTACTCCTTGGCTTTTAAATCCTGAGAACTTGGCCTTTTAATCATGTTTTCACTGAACCATCTATGTCCCCCTGTTTTTAATGTGTTCCTGTGTCTTTGTTTTATTGTTCATGTTAATTGTCTGTTTTTATTGTTTTTAATTTTACTGTACAGCACTTTGGTCAGTGCTTTGTTGTTTTTAAATGTGCTTTATAAATAAACCTGGATTGGATTGGATTTGGATTGAATTTCCCTTCGGGGATCAATAAAGTTATTCTTATTCTTAACGGGGAAAGAGACTTTATTTTATTTTATCTTTAGTATTTTCTATACCTGTACTTAATTGATTCAGCACTCATTTCATGTGTGTAACGCATGAACGTGATTTTAACCGTAACGCCAAAAACCTTAAACCTTACCCTACCCCCGTAACCCGATACCAGGTTTTACCTAAAGGAAGCCCTAACACCCCGAACATTTTTTTTTCATTTTTCATTTTGTTTTTGGTCTAACTAACTCCAAAAGGTCTGAAACATGTTCCTTAAAAGGTTTTGGACATTGATTTTAACCATAGACTGTATATAAGATGGATAGAGTCTGCCTCCTCGCTGGGTGAAGCCTCCCCGAGAACAGCACCCTCTGATGGTGGGCTGCAGTACAGATCATAAATCCTGCCTCCGCCAGCAAAGCTTATGGGACTGTGGACAAACTTTAGAAATTTATTACACAGAACTTAATTTTTTCTCCCCCCTGCTTGTGATGTTGACATGTAGTTATTGTAAGACTGGTTTGTGCCCAAGTCCTCTTTTTTCTGTGGAGCTCTGTTTTTAAAAGTTATTAGGGGGTTCATGTTTTCTATGATTGACACCTGGTACAGCCTATGGGCGTTCAGGGATTGCGTAGCTCTTCCGGGGGGATACGCTGTTTGAGCCGAGCAACATCACAGGGACTCTTGGCGACTGCGCGGCCGAATGCGCGCATTGCTACTGCGCAGCTCTGGTTTCAAGGAAGTGGAGAAAAACCCGGAATTACCGAGAGCTTTTTGGCTTCAAATCCGTATACAGGCGGAAGGCGGAACCAGGTTGTCCATCTTATATACAGTCTATGGTTTGAACATTTAAATTTATACATTATACCGCATTCTGTGTTGTGTGTTATGTGGGTTGGAGATCAATTGCTCTTGTGCTTCAGTGCTACTGCCAGTCTCCTTCTCTAAACCTAGTTGATTAGACAGAACCCAAGAAGACTAAGAAAAAGGTTACAATATATCAAGTTCTGTGTATGTTGTAGGACTATAGAGCTACTACATCAGCGGAAGCTTAACAAAAAAATATTTACTAAAGGCTATTTAGCACAATTATTGATATCTATGAGAGAGGACTGTTCTCTTTTTGAGGTTAGATACTCAAAGTTGACACAGGGGGGCAGCGTAGTGCAGTGAAGTCTAATCCTGTCTTCAAATCAAAATCACAAATTTATACTAATTTATTGATACAACACATTTCAACTAAGAAACTTTATGAGCTTGTATTTCAAAAAGTTTTAGTGTGTGTGTGTGTGTGTGTGTGTGTGTGTGTGTGTGTGTGTGTGTGTGTGTGTGTGTGTGTGTGTGTGTGAGCCTGACAGATCTTTTGAAGGTTTTTATGGTTTGTAATGAAACACGGTCAGAAACTGTTTTTATTATCAGTTTTCATCATTTTTTTCTCTTTCCTCCGTAAATATTCATAACTAACTGTGAATGAAGTTGGTCTTTCAAATCAAAATCTCTCTCTCCCTCTCTCTCTCTGCATATCTAAGTATAGACTGACAGAAGTGAGAGAAAGAGACACACAACCTGCCACCTGCCTTTTTATCTCATACATAAAGTCTGATCCAGCTGCAGGACTCACATCTGGGACGTGTAACGCCTGTGACTGACCACATCGTGGAAATCCTGCAGACCACATGAATCCATGACCCAGACGGACCGGTAATTGACATCCAGCAGAAACAGACAAAATAAAAATAAAAAAACAGGCGAGCTGCTTTCAGTGACACAGTTTGATGATTTGTATTTTTTTCACTCACAATCAGAGACTTCACCACAATCTCAGCTGAGTCAGGAACATTAAAACAGTCTAACTAATGAATGTGATTATTATTAGAATTATTAAAAAGCTCATAACATGTTGATCTGCCGAAAGTGTCAATATACACATCTTTACAAACAGACTGATCCAACAGAAGCAGACAGAAATATCCATCCATGACATGAATACAAATATTATTCAGCAAAAAGAGAAAGCACAGATCATTTGATGTGTTTTTGGGGACAACTGGAAAGATTTTAGATGGTTGGATTTGGGACAGGAAATAAGGCTGTGCTTTTTCAAAATCTACACCAACTTTTGTGAAGATTTTTCACAATGAGAAATGCAAACAATGAAAGTTATCCACAACCACTGTCCTTAAAGCTGCTACAAAATCAGCATCTTTAGAAAATAATGAAAAAGCTGAAATGAAGAACTGAACAGAGTTTTTGGTGAGACTGGTCCACAAAAAATTACAAACCAGAACATTTCAAGAGTTCAGTGATCTCATTACATGTTTTTGGTCAGATTGACTCAAAATTATGTTCATTTCAGTTCAATAAACTCAGCAGAGTCTCCAATGGACCAGGGTGTTAGTCCAGCATGTAGTGGCTCAGTGAATGGGGTCTGGACTCTGTGGAAAAGCCATGATTTCAGATGCTGTAGAAGGACAGAAAACCTGCTCTGTGATCCAGGTACACTCCTAATCTGGAGGACCGAGGACCTGAGACAGAAGAGCAAAGGACTTTGTTGTGCATTAATTCATACCTATCATTATAACTGACTGTCCTCCAAGATCTGTCATTGTATCCAAATAAACAATCATCTGATTTCCCTGCTCTGCTGATAGTCTTGTATGCTACTGCTACATAAACCCAGTCCCCTCTCCCCTCCACCTCCCTGTAACAACGTCCAGTTACACTGTCTCTACTCAGGCCCTGTTTATAATTGGTGAATCTGTCTGGGTGATCAGGATAAGACTGTTGTTGTTATGTTAATGTTGCTCGTTATTTTTCATCAGATAATAACAGCCGTCTGTATGCTGTGTTTGGATCCAGTGTGATTCGTTGTGAATATCTTAAGAAACCAGCTCTGGTCTTGGGTCCTTGTTCTGACAGTAAAACATCCACTTTAGTCACTGCATGTGAGATGTTTGTCCACGTCTCTGTCCGAAGATCCTGGAGTTTATCTCTGACCTCTGACACAGCTGTTGTCACCTCCTCAAAGTATTTCAGAGGACGGATGTTGATGCTGGATGAGTCTGCAGGTTGACCCGCTCCTGAAAGTGAGGGGTAGCTCTGCAGAAACTGGTTGTGGTCCTCTGTAAGTAAGAGCCTTTGCAGATCAGTCTCTTTCCTCTTCAGCTCAGTGATCCCCTGCTCCAGCCTCTCCTGAAACTCTTTGACTCGACTCACTTCCTGTT